ACAGGACAAGAGGCAATGGGCACAAACTGAAACATAAGAGGTTTCAGTTGAACATGAGGAAAAACTTCTTTACTCTGAGGGTGACGAAGCACTGGAACAGGCTGCCCAGGGGGGTTGTGGAGTCTCCTTCTCTGGAGATATTCAAAGCCTGCCTGGACGAAGTCCTGTGTAACATGCTCTAGGAGAACCTGCTTTAGCAGGAGGGTTAGACTAGATGATCTCCCGAGGTCTCTTCCAACCCTTGCGATTCTGTGATTTGGTGCAGTATGTATGGAGGTGAGCAGCCTTATGGAAGGAGACTTGAGTTTGTCTCCCCGTGCATCACATGGTATCCCTGCCCAGTGCTGCTCTGTCTGGCTCACAGGTGTTTGTGCATTGGTATGGCTTAGCTAAAGTATTTAGCCTTCAGATGATTATCAGTATCTGAAACTCGGAGTAATCTTTGCCATCTCTGGAACTTTGTAAACCGGTTTCCCATAGTCTGGCTATAGATCTTGCAAAGGAACATAGATGAATGTTTATTGGCAAAGCAGAAAGGTTATAGCCCAGGTAAAAACAAAGGGAGAAGAGTCAACAGGATGTCTGTTGTTTGATCCAGACAGTCTTTGGGACACTTGCTATTTTTAAGCATTCTTCCTGTGAACCTTTTTGAACTCCCTCTCTGCTGAAAATTCCTGAGAAGGGCATGCAGTTTTGGATGCTAGAAATCCAGGTATTCTCCTGTGTTATACGCAGCATGCTGTAGAAAAACATTTGCAGCTTTTCAGTTTACAGAAGACTGCGTATCCCTTTTGTGTGGCTAAGTGAAACGTATTTTCGTGCTGAGAGGAAGCGTGATAGAGCTTGTACAGCCAGTGCTCAAGAGCTAGGGTTTGTTTCAGTCTACTGATTCTTGATGTGCGACTGTGAGCCAGTCTTAATGGAAAATACCTGCCTTGCAAAGTGTTTCTTGTGTCTGCTGAATAGCTGTACCAGGCTTAGCACTATGACTCTTGGGTGGGACTTGGTATTTGGAAGGAGATCTCACCTTCCTGGATTGTTATCCCTATAGAAGCCTGTTTGTTAAAGCTGCATCTGTGACGTTAGCTTGGAAGGAGCATTGCAGTTCAGTAGCACTTGATTCATTTCAATAAGCAGCTAACCTGATTTGCACTGTTGAGTTCCGAGCTGAAAATACAGATGTTGGAAATCCTGAAAGGTGTTCCATACTTCCAAATCTTTGTAAATTCTGCAAATGCAGCAGCTTCATGAGCAGGACATGAGATTATTTTTTTTTTTAGTCATGCCTGGCAGGTTTGTGGGCTTACAATGGATAGCAGTTACCCTATTACCCTGGAAGTGTCCTATCCTGCATTCAGATCCCATCATGTAGTTTTCTGCGACCTGGGACTTCTCTTGTGTGCATTTGGTTCAGTACAACGTCCGTTACTGCTGCTCTGGGAGCTTCTTGTCACATGTTGCCACCTTATGAATTGCTGCCTCTGTCAGCAGAATTCTGGGAATGACAATTCATATCAAGAGAAGAACTTAGTGATGAGTCTGAGAGAGATCCTTTTCCCTTTTAAAAGAAGGGCAATGAGGAAAAGCAGAACTGAGAGACTTTGAAGTAGAACATTTTATCGTGGCATGTTAATAAGTCTTATTTTAGAAGTTAAAAGTGTAATTGAACTTTCAAAATCAATGCTGTGGATAAGTCCAGTATGGCTTTAGTGAAAACTGGTAGTGGCTTTTGTGAGTTAGCCTTTGTGTCCTGGTTTAGAGGGCTCTGGTCTGCAGTGGTGTTCCCTGAGGAGCAGGAGCATGCTTTGTGTTTCAGGTGTTTAGCTGTGTGCTTATGGTACTTGAAAGTCCTGGGTTTCCATGCATAAAGGATTCAACTGCTGAGCTATTGGAGGAGTTTTATCTTCATTTTGATACACTATCTACTTCGTAAAGATGAGGGATCTGCTGCATTGTATGCTCTTGCATGTGCAGAGAGGTTTGCGTGCGTTTTGGGTTTGGTTTTTTTTTTTGCTTCTGGAGAGAGGTTAGCTTTATTTCCCTGTTACTGTGCATTAGGTACAGCTTATTCTAGAAGTGGAACAAACCGACTTTGGCATGTGCTGGCACGACTGTTCTTGTGTTCCTCCTTTCCCACAGGTTTTAGCATTGGTGGTTTTTTTCATTTGTTTGCAAGCAGGAAGCTGCAGGAAATCTCATGTAAATAACTGTTTTATGCTTTAAGCCTCCCACATCATAGGTTGAGCTGATTGCAGCCAGTTTGGTAAGGCGAGTGGAAAAAGATCTTTGAAATGTGTCGTGTGTATTTAGTTCCTTAAATTCAGCTTCTGTGCGCTGATCTATAGAGTCTTTTTAGATACTTTGAAAAATGTCTTTTGCAGCAAAAGCAGCCTGCAAGCCCTCTCAAATCAATATTGGTTGATGAAATCATAGCAGAACAGGCATAGTGCTGTTGGATTAAGGGGCAGAACAAACCTATGCTTCAAAGACCAATGTTAATATAGATGTGCTCAAACCTAACTACTGCTGTCATTGGATGTAGGACCATTTGCCAGGATGTTTGCCTGAAGAAGAATTCTTGTTTAAATCCAGCTTTGATTATTTAAAAAGTTAAGTTGTAGTTGGTTAAAATTGTGGGGTTTTTTAAGAACTCCAGGGTGACATGGAACCCATGGAATTAACAGTTATGAGATTAGTTGGTTGGACAACTTTAACCCTTCTGTAATGTCAAATTATAGCATACTTGAAAACAATTTGGTCTTAGTCTTGATGTCAATGTTTTCAAGATGGTGCTGTTGTGAATGAGGACAGTAGCACTCATGCTTTAAAGTCAAGCAGGGTTGTCTGCTTCTGTTCTTGAAAAGTTGTAGTTATCATAGTGTAGGTTGGAGGAATGTTGTAAGCTGGAGGCTTGCTTGATAGGCTTGGCGCTTCTCTTGCTTCTCACTTGCCATCCAGGAAGGGATGCAGACAAGCTTTGTCCATAAATACATGCCTTGGTTCCATTAAGTTTTAGCATTTAAATACACACATCCTTTGCTTGAGGCCTTGTTGTCTGGAAAGTCAAGAGTTGGTGTGTCAGCCTTGGTCCACTGAGTATGTGCTGTCTGCGTCTCTGGGTGGATTACTCGAAGGGAGATGCAAGACGGTTTCTGTTGGTACAGTGCTGCCTGACTTGATGCCTCTTGGAAGTACGTCAATGTTAGGCCTCAATTTCTGCAGGTCGATTTGGTTAATGTTACTTTTTGATATGCAGGTCAAAAGAAAAAATCCTTTCCTCACTCGCCAACCAGATGTAACTGTATTGTCTTGTAACTGTGTTATCCCTGCCTGTGGTAAAGATGAGTTAAAGTTAGTAAAATCATACCGAGTTCATGGAAGGGTTAGATCTGTCAGCAAACTGAGGCTGCTCATGTGCTGTTTCAAACCACTCCCTTTTAGTACCAGCAGCACTTGTATGGGCTTGAAAACACAAACAAAGCGGCAATATCTTGTAGTGTAACCTGCAGCACTGGGATGGCTGGTGAAGCACCCACTTGAGTAGTTCATGTGCTGCAGTTGAGGGAATACTTCCACCCTGTTTTTGTAAAGGGATTTACCTTCTCCTTTTATCTAATTGTTGTGAAAAACTGGAATTCAGTTGTGATTTGTTCCCCTCCTCTCCCCCCACAGTTAACAGAAATAACAAAATGCAGGAAAAATGTAATTATATTATTCTAGAGGGTGTTATATCCTTGGGAATTTTTAAGCAAATTGGAGGTATTTCCTTTTGTTGTAGTTCCACGTCATTCATTCTGTTACTTTGTGTTCTTGTGTTCTCCATCTTTAGATACCTGCTCGAACAAGACTTTCCAGGCATGCGGATTGGTCCAGAGCCTACCACAGATTCTTTTATTGCTGTGATGTATGGAGATTCAGAAGGAAGTGTTCCTGGAAATGCCTTAGTTGTTGATCCTAAGAAGCCGTTCCGCAAACTCAGCCGCTTTGGAAATGCTTTCCTGAACAGGTGAGATCTGTTTGCTTGCTGTCTTTTGATTTTTATGTTTAAATTTCTACTCGATGCCATCTTCAAGCATTAGTGTTTTTTACTAAGTTTATTTTTCTGCTGTATTTGTTTTCAACAGCATGGAATAAATATTCAAATACAAGCAGGAGCGGTGGCAGTTCAAGCGAATTAAAAATAAAAAGCAGCACGAGGTAGGGTAGGTCTAGCATAGAGCTGTGTACACTTGGTAAAACTTTAAAAAATTTAAAAAGGTGAAGAGTGTTCGTATATATTCAGTTATCAGAAGAGAAGATTGTTGTTAAAACCAGTTCACAGAAAACTGCTGAAACGCTCCACCAGGTAACTTGTTTGTAAGGCATTACACCAACTAGAACGCAAGATCATTTTGGGCACAAATTTCCCTGCTCAGTAAAACTGGGAGATAAATACTATTATTAAAAACTACCATCCAAAAAAGGAAAATACCTTTTCCCTTTGATGCTGTCTTGTTCTATTACACTGGTCTCACCTGAGGTCTTGGTATATTTCCTTAAAGTTGTGAATTGCTAGGATATGTAAAAAGGTCCACAGGAATAGAGAACATTTGAATATGCCTTCTGGATAAAGTATATCTTCAAGCTGTTAAGTGTTTAATTTTAACTAGCTGGCCCTCAAGCAGTCCCATAGACTGGGATGATAGCATTAGCTTCTGGATGGCTGCTGGGTATTTGCAAAAAGGGGGGAGTTGTTTAGGGGCTGTGAATATTGCCATGGGTAACTTAAGTAGCAGGCTAAATGTTATTAATAACTTTGTCTGCATTGCGTGAGCAATCACCTTGTTTTCTTCCTGTATTTGATGGTGGCTTGACACGGCAGCCTGGTTTTGCAAGCCAGTTAATCTAAATTGTTTCTCTTTTAACAATAAACTTTCCTGTTTGGCTGATAAACACTGGCTATATGTGTTAAAAGTTCATCATGTACAGTCTTATCTCTCACTGTGCTTATTCACAGAAGAAAGTTTGTAGCTGCTTACAGTTGGCTTGGCTGTCACATTGTTGAGAGATAAGAATATGTGATGTGGGAAGCTGCAGTCAAGTCCCATTTTAAATAACAATTTTGTGGTCCAAGACCTCTTTCTGTGAGATTATTGGCTAAGTCTTGCCCTCCAGATCACTGTTCTGTTCCTCTCTTGCCCCACCATTGTGCTCCCCTTACTATGAACAGTTAACATAATTATACTGTAAATAGTATTTTGCACAATATTCCAGTATTGACACAGAACACGTAATGCTACTAAATGTTTGTTTGGATGAATGGGTTGCATAGTTTTTTGGCTAAGTCATGTATCTAGCTAATTGTTTCAGATCCTGAATCTTAGACAAGCAAGATTATTTGCTAGCTCAGAAGATGTACATCCAAAGTAACAGACTAAATTATTCCAGTTCTTTTGGTGACGGTGGTACTGTTATATTGCAGCGCTGTAAGCAACCTTATCTTCTTCAGCTTGCACATTTGCTCCTTAGTTTTGCAGCAGAGGTCTAGGTGCTTATATTCCCCTAGCACCACACTTGGTCTGCTACTTTGATCATATTGCTCCTTTTTCAAAACTGTCAACTCATTTCTCTTTTTCCTGCTTTACCTCGTTGAAAATGTCGTAGGCCTTATTTCAGTATCTTTGAGTAACTTCTCCCAGTTGTCTTTACCTATGTATTTTGCTTTGCTGTATTTTGCAGTATTACATTTTTCACTCCTGTCTTAATATATTTAATGTATTTCTTTCTACTTCTCTCTCACCACCTCACCCCTGCTTGCTTGCCTTTTTTTTTTTTTTTTTTTTTTAATGAATTCACAATTCTAGTGTTTTGGTTTGTGAAAAAATTAAGGTACTACTTTTACAAGGCTATGGATGCTGAAGGACTGTGAAGTCAAGCTCTCTTTGCATCTAAATGTAACATGAAAGAAATAGTGACTGAGGTAATGGAGAAACTAAAAACAAACAAGAACACAGTAGCACAATCAAGGGTTGTACTTACTAATTAGCCTCATTAATTTATTGATGTTACCTTGCCTCTTTTTTCCATGACCCCTTCTTATTTCTCCCCATATTTACCTGCTTGTGATAGATGTCTCTGTAAGGCTCCTGAGTGTAGAAACTTGTCTCATTTTTCCTGTGTACTTTTAAGGAAGGTTGGGGTTGGGGAGAAGGGGCTGGGGACAGGACCTAGTGTGCCCTTGGATGCTGGTTAAAGTAAGCGAGGAAAGAATATTGCAGTATACCAGAAGATCACAGAAATAAATTGGTGCTGCTGAGAAAAACCACGTGGTCCTGCTCTATTTTAATGGGTATCTGTATGGGCACAAAAAGGAGTATAAATTCTTACTAGATTCTCTGAGTCATCCAAAGTTAATTTTAAAAAAAAAGTCATCAGGTGACTGCAAGGTGGTTCATTTCATTTTTGCAAATGATGTAACTTATTTTTGCAAGGGTAATCTAATATTGCTGCTTTTCTTTAACAATAGTTTTATAATATGAAAAGCATGACAGTATTGAAGGTCTAATGTGTCATAAGAAGTTAGTCATTCACACTACTATTTTTGTAACGCTTTTTTGTGAAGGTCTGCCATTTAGGTAGGTACTATGTAGTTTTGTTTTTTATGATGCAGCACTTAAAAAATCACACTTCATGCAGGTCATGTAAGAAACAGTCGTTCAGAACCAAGTCTCAATGTCAAAGAGATACTAAAATACAGCTGGCATTACTGTTTTAAGTTGACTGAAATACTGATTTGATGTAAGGTTTTTAACCCATCTCTTGTCTGTAGCTTATGGACATATTCTAAAAGCTACAGCCACTTAATTCAGAATTTATCCTTCTATTTCATATTCTTTTCCTATGTACTTTCATCCTCCCTTTGCCACTAATGACTGCTGCAAAGACTGCAGTGTCTTTACATTTCTGGGGCCTGTAGTTCTCTCTTCTTGCACAACCTTTCCCAGCCATCCCAGTTTGGGCAATGCCTAAGTCAAAACACTGCTGTATTGTTCAGCTGAAATAATGGTGCCAGTCTTCCTCTAAGGCCTAGAAACATCTCAGTGACACTAAACAAGTGCTGGGCTTTCTAAGGTTGGAATAAGGGGATAAGAAAAAACATACAAAAATTCAGTCTTCACGCTTCCAAATTTAGGAAAGCTACTTCATGTTGTACATAGTAGTGGTGTATTTTTTGGTAATGGTTGACATGGTCAAATGTATTTTCTTTGTTGCTTATGCACATCCGCTCTGCTTTAATGCAGTGTCTCCGTGAGGTTTTGGAAAGTTCAAAAAAATGTTATTTTATTCAGTGGTACCTTACTGCTCTTTGAAAAGCATCTCTTAAGCTAATAGAAAATTAGCCTTGGTGGAAGAGTTTGCTTCAGATATACAGTATTTTCTACACCTGGTGTTCCACTAAAAAAACCGCAAAGAACAAAACACAAACAGAAACACCAAACCAAAAAGGGTAGTGCTGTTTACATACCCTAAGCTTTTGTCAGGCCAAGATGGCTGCTGTTTCCTTATCCCCTGTTGGGTTTCAAGGGAGCGGCATAGCTGATGCTGCCGTTTCTGTTGTACCCAAGAAGGGGTGCTGTGTGCTTTTGTTACAGACTCGTTACTACAAGGTCACCTGAAAAGCAAGGTGAAGCGAGGTATAAGGATTTTTTTTCTTCTTGCTTTCCACTGAATCGTCTGTATCGTTGTCTGTCAAACAATAGCTTCCAAATTTTGATGTATCTTAAGTTTTGTATCTTATATTTGACTGGCTGAACTCTTCCTGACTCAAGATTATCTTTGGTCTTGGAAGTTCTAGTTTGACCTTGGGGTGGTTAAGCTTTGCTGTCTGTGATAGCCTGTTTCTTGAGGTTGTGTGTGCCTTCTAAAGTGATGGGTTGACGCGGGGTGGCCATCTTACAGCCTGAGCCTGCAGCTTAACCCTGTGCCAAGGCTGCCTGTGGGCAGCTTCACAGGAGGAGGGTAGCTGACACAGTGTGCTTGCTAGTACGGTCTTCAGCTGCTGCCCGATAAGAAGATTAAACTCTTATGCAAATCTCTTAAAGGCAGTTTATGATGAAGGGACGTGAAGTACTTCAATCATGAACCATCCCAGAAGCATCCGAGTAGCTTGGATTTAGCACACCAAGTGTTCTGCGCGACTCTCAGAGGCCTTGTGAATTATTTATTTTTCATAATACCACCATTGAATTTGTCTCCTGTCGCAGGGGCAGGAGGTTATTGTTTGGTGCGTGCTGTGTGTAACGTGAACTCCTCGTTCTGGCAGTGTGAAAGCTTTTGCTCGGTCTGTGGGAGAAATACTCTCGTTTTCAGTGCTCTGCAAGCCCCACCTAAGGGAAGGGTGGTGGGTTGGAGATGGGAACTGTTCAAATGCTGCCAGAGCAGGCGAGAGGGTGACTTGCCAGTGACTGGAATATAAACATATCGTCAGTATGGCTTTCTGCCCGCTTCTCTTTTCTCTTGAATCTCTTTGAATTTGGGCAAAAGTTGGAGTAGATGGATTGTTTCTTGTGTATACAAATTTTGGTCCTAACAAAATGTTTCTTTTATGGAGTCTTTTTCATCTTGCATATATGGCCCATGTTGTCAGGTCTTGCAAAATTTGGAATTTTATCAGCACTTAGACATATGGTTTTACAAGGGTTTCCTGTGTTTTCTTTTTTATGACAAGCTCTGTTTACATTTTGTTTTCTTAAACATGTATGGTTGCCAAACATAGGGGTTCATTAGGACTTCAGAAACTCTTTTTTTAAAAATCTCACTTGACTCTTTCTAAAAGCAGATAAATAAAGGGGAGCTCTCAAGAGACAATCTACATGTGAGCTAGAGCTATTGCTAATGTTTCTTTTTTCCTCCTCCTTTCCTACAGGTTTATGTGCTCTCAATTGCCTAACCAGGTACTGAAGAGCATCAGTATCATCGACAGCCCTGGCATTCTCTCTGGTGAGAAGCAGCGCATCAGCAGAGGTGAGTTGCAGGGCTTGAAAATAACCAAGCTCACTGTTTTTGCTGTACTGGACAAGTCGTCATACTGATCTGTTGAGGGCCTGTTTTCGTGGTATTGAGTGGTGGTGTGTCCCAAACTTCCTTATTACAGGGCCTATTAAACCCATATTTTAAGGCTGGATGGAGGGTTTGGATTTTTTTCTCTTGAAAACTGGTGGGGTTGGGATTTCTATCATCCTCCTGCTATGGCTGCATGGTCTGTTGACTGATAAGTGCTTTGAAGCTCCTGAGAAAAAGTGTTATATATACTACTGAAGTTCATGAATAAAGAAATATTTCATAATAGCTATAGTTCTTCAAGCTGCTCATGTTTAAAAACTGAGGGGGTTGGGCTATAAAGAAGGTGCTTTTATTGTAGGCACAGCTGCTGTAATATGGTTTTCAGTCAAAAGAGTTAAGGTGGCAACAGGAAGAAGGAATGAGAATGTTTTTAATAAAACTAAAATTCTGCATAAGAATAGAACACTGTTCTTAACATGCTGTTTAAGAAATTAGCCTGTCTTTGAGAAACTATTAAAACAAAACAGCATAATGTTAATAACTTTCCTCGTTGTTTCCTTCAGCTGCATTTAAGTGCATGTCAGAGATTTCTGTGGAGTTGCAAATGGTAGTGATCTAGTGTGTGGCTTATTCTGCGCTCTGTTTTCAGACCTTTGCTTAAGAAAAGGAAACTTATGTGTTTCGTGTCTGTGCGAGGGGAAATAATCAGTTCTTTGACATATCAACCTGGGATTTTTTGAGGAAACCCTGGAATGATCACAATGTGACAGCTGTGCAACCATAGTCTTGTCTCTATGTTGCACTGACAGAACAAGAGGCTAACTTCTTAGGACTGCAATCTGAAGTATGCTTGCTTAGGAAACTGGTCTACTAGATGTTTCTGGATTCTTTGTTCAGTGACAGAATGTGGTTTTTTTGGTCCTCATTATTGCTCATACAGTCACGTAAAGCATTCATCATGGGGAGAGAACTCTGTTTCCCTATATGTGATATACTGGTGAACTAGTAATGATGAACAGCATGAGTGCTCTACACCTGTGCAAGCAAAGCAAAGGTTGTGAAACCAGATGAGTAAAACAAATACTGCATGTTGGCACTCTAGGCAGAAATAACCAAGTGTACAACTAACATTCTTTAATCCTGAAAAATCTTCTCATAAGATGTCTGCAAAATGGTTAAGTCTCAGTTTACACAGAGTCTGATAAAATCAAAGATGGTCTTAAATCTCCTACTTCTGCTTCTCTGTTGTGGATTCCAGCTCCCTTTTTCTTCCACCGACAAAAGTTAGGCGCATCTTTCTTCTCTCGCTGCTTGTTAAATCAAGGGAAAATGATGTCTGGCATCATTCAAGCGTCTGTTGCCACTTAACAGTATGGAAGTGAACATGAAATAAGCAGAAAACTAGAGCATCACATTAATGTGGCACTGAAAAAGCGAGCAATTGTGTGACAGAATTCAACACCATTAGGGATTGCTGTGGAAGTCCCAGGCTTCCTGTGCGGGACAGAGTTGTGTTTCAGTCCAGGTTATGTTTCACTGGTAGTTCTGTGTTGCTTAAAGGACCATGGCTCTTCACTGCCATCTAGAATTGCTCTTGTGACTTAATAAAACACACGGCTGTTGTTCCTTTATTGTTCAGAAACTCTGTTTTCTTATGGTATGTGCCTTATCAATTGTTTTGATAGCCTAGCTGGCCTGCCCTTTGGTATGGTAGACTTTCACCTATGTTGATAAAGCTCAGTCATAACCTCAATCTCTTACCTGTTTCACAGGCTTTAACTTGACTAGTTTGCATATCATGAATTTTTTTTCAATGTGTCTTGAATACATAACTTGGCATAGTTCTTTTATCACAGATGTGGTTCTCCTGTATGTTGTTTAGCTTTAAGCAGTGTGGTTGTACCATAAATAAGGTTTTGGGAGTCAGCTTTAGAGCACTGTTCTCTCCGTGCCCCAGGTTCGCAGGGCAGCTGCTGCCAAAGTTTAAGGTTTCATATACTTGGGCATCTCCATACATGAAGTACCTACAGGTCACTGTATGGACCTATTGCATGCTCTTATGATTAGGCAATACTGTGCTCACCCATGTCTGAAATACTGGCTAGTCAGATAAGTTTCCTTTTGGGCTGTTTATGCAGTTTCTGTACAGGTGGTTTTGTGGAGGACAGACTTGACTTGTCCCATGGTGCTGCACGCAGCACAGCCTGTCTGACCTGCTTCCTGAAGGAGTCGGGCAGACTTCAGCATACTTACACTACAGGTCTAATTCAGCACGTTTCGAAGTTGAGTTGCTTAGATTACTTTTTAAATCACTGTGTGCAAATGTAAGCAGGATTCTATAAGATGTTTTCTGCTGTCCCTAAATGTGTCTGTCGGAGAAGGTTCTGTTTTTACACCTTCAGACCAGCAAAGTGGGGGTTTTTTGTGGTGTTTTTTTTTTCCTACAAAATGTGTGTTGTTACCCCTTAAATTCTCTGGCTGCTTCTCACTGAAAAAGGTTGCAGCTGGCGTGCTTCACTATGGGAACTGCCATTTCCTTTCACGGTGAAGGTGATCACAGACTTAAATGTAGGGATGCTTTCCTGTGCTTGCCAGGAGAGCTCTAAGTATACAGGGTGATTCTTCAGAATTTCTTTTTCTGACAAATTCACAATTTTGTATTTCAAAATTTTATAGTTCAGCAATTTTTTAAGCTTTTGATTTCTTTCTGTTTCTCCCTTAAACTTTTATTTTTCTTGCAAATTTTGCTGTTATTTTTGAAATAATATATACAAGATGAGATTTTTCATAATTCAGTAATGGAATATGACATTTAACACCTGATAAGTATTCTTGGATGCTTTCTATTCTGCACGTTATTGTTGTCTGTTCTTATCTGAGGTTTTTAAACTACCTTTCCAGAAGTTTAGCTTGTTTCTAACATTGGTGAGCAGGAGTTCTTATTGGTGATGTTTTAATGTGTTTGATAGAAAAATAACATTACAGGACCTCAGTGTAAAACCTTCACTCCTTGCTGTTGGTGTTTTTTTTTCCATTTTCCTGTGAGCAACTGCTTAACTGTTTACCTATGTAAATGGCCAAAACCAGACATAACACCTGCATAATGATAGAATTGATAGAATTTGACAGGTAAGGTGAAGCCTTCTGAGATCAACAAAGCAATCAAATGTGAACTTTCAATTTTAAAATGCAGGAAAACGGTAAAGGGACTATGTAAAAATACAGGATATGCACTATTTCCCATGTTTTATTTGTAACTCTGGAAAGCATCCAGGCTGATCACTTTCTGAAGGGCCAAAAATATACACAGAATGCAACATCCAAAGCTATCTCTGTTCATACACCTCTCCTGCTCCTGTGGTCGGCAGGAGGATGTGCCAGAAGCTTCCTGCCTGTCAGTTCAAGGGCTGTGTAAGTGGCTGGAGGAGAACATGCAGACGTCTGCCAGCATTGTTCCCAGTCAGGCAATGCCCGTCCTGCTGCTGCTTCTGCAGCATCACTGGTGACGTTCACAAAGCGCATGTCAGACAGAAATGTGCGTACGGTCTGCAAGATTTGGAAGGGACAATGGGCGTAAGGAGGAGGAAGGAGAAGTAATGTCTGGCAGGGTGTGGGGAGGAACTGCTGTTAGGAAGGGAGGGGAGGTTAGGTTCATGATTCATGGAATCATAGCATCTTTAAGGTTGGAAAAGACCTCCAAGATCATCAAGTCCAACTGTCAACCTAACACCAGCATGCCTACTAAACCATGTCCCAAAGTGCCACTTCTACACATTTTTTGAACATCTCCAGGGATGGTGACTCCACCACTTCCCTGGGAAGTCTGTTCCAATGTTTGACCACTCTCTCAGTGAAGAAATTTTTCCTAATATCCAACCAAAACCTCCCCTGATGCAACTTGAGGCTACTTCCTCTCACCTGTTACTTGGGAGAAGAGGTCAACCCCCACCTTGCTACAGCCTCCTGTCAGGCAGTTGTAGAGAGCAATAAGGTCTCCCCTCAGCCTCCTCTTCTCCAGGTTAAACAATCCCAGTTCCTTCAGCTGCTCCTCATAGGACTTGTGCTCCAGACCCCTCACCGGCTTTGTTGCCCTTCTTTGGACACCCTCCAGCACCTCAATGTCCTTCTTGTAGTGAGTGGCCCAAAACTGAACACAGTATTTGAGGTACAGCCTCACCAGTGCTGAGTACAGGGGGACGATCACTTCCCTACTCCTGCTGGCCACACTATTCCTGATACAAGCCAGGATGCTGTTGGCCCTCTTGGCCACCTGGGCACACTGCTGGCTCATGTATAGTTGGCTGTCAACCAGTACCCCCAGGTCCTTTTCCGCCAGGTAGCTTTGCAGCCACTCATCCCCAAACCTGCAGTGTTGCATGGGGTTGTTGTGACTGAAGTGCCGCCCCTCGCGCTTGGCCTTGTTAAACTTCATACAGTTGGCCTTGGCCCATTGATCTAGCCTGTCCAGGTACCTCTGCAGAGCCCTCCTCCCCTTGGGCAGATCGACACTCCCCCCCAATTTGGTGTCATCTGCAAACTTACTGAGAGTGCACTTGATCCCCTCATCCAGATCATTGATAAAGATATTAAACAAGACTGGTCCCAGAACTGAGCCCTGGGGGACACCACTTGTGACCAGCCGCTAACTGGATTTAACTCCATTCACCATGTTATTGAGTGGCATGAAGGCGAGGCTGTCAAGAAGTATGAGGAAAGACCTCAGAGGAAAATGGAGGGTAATATTGGTTAGCTTGCATTTTTAGAACTGGAGTTACTTAAATACAGGTAACTTTCTCAGTTCAATCTGGCTTGTGAGAATGTAGTCATGGATTAAGTAAGGCGATGTATATAGTTGCAGCATCATGTCAGGCTTTCCCTTGCAGTGAGACACTGCACGTTCTCCTTAGGATTAGTTCACCAGCAGGAGTGCAGTAAGAGTGTTATCCAGGAGTGCTGGATTGAGACAGGCTTTCATTAAAGGAACTGGAAACTTCCATCCCAGAGAGCAAAAAGGGCATCTTTCCATGTGGGACCGAGCTCCGTTTGAAAGCCTGGGAAGTTTAGATGCTCACCTGTGGCAGAGCATTAGAAGAACAGGACATTGGGCAGGGGGGTGAAAGGCTGCTCTTGTCCACGTCCAAATTCTGTGTATGGCCGGTGGGATCACTCCAGCACTCTGCCCACCCCTGATGCATCTGGTAAGTGGGTACCATTCTCTGAGCTTGCAGGCTCTTCGCTGCCGCATTTGTCTGAGAGGTGCCACTCCTCTGCTGTGCCAGTAGTGCCAGCCCCAGGGGTGCAAGGACTGGGCGCTCTGCCTGTCTGTGCTCACAGAGGGTAGATTGAGCCTGTCAAGCCTCCCTGATTGTTTTCTGAATTGCAAAAGCTTTGGGAGGTGGTATTAGAGTAAGTTGGAAATTATTTACCTTGGGCCCCCAAAGAAAAGCCTACTGTTTGTTTAATCCTTTATTACTAACTGGCACAGAAAATTGAACCATGCTCACGCTGCACGACTGCACAGCTGAATCTTCGAGTATGGCTGGTGGCTGTCATGCACGGGGCTTCCATTTTTCCCTGTGCTAATGACACATGAGAGCTCATGATCATTCCTCTCATCAGTATTTCCAGGGCTGGTAATCTCGTGCAGTTTCTCTCCAACCTTTTCACCTCGTTCGCATTGTTTCATTTTGTTCTCCTCTGTGGTCTCTGCTCTGCCTGTTACTGATGCCCGACAGCCACACCTCTGCCAGAAGCACCAGCTCGCTGGCTCCCTCCCTGCAGCTTGGGACGAGCTCAAGAGCTCTGCAGTGCTGCTGGTGCATCCCAGCTTTCCTCTGTCCCTTGACAGAGTAGAAAGGCGACTCGTGACTTTCTAATATGCATGTGCAAGTAGGTGTGACAGGATCTTAAATGCGTTGTCTCAGTGCTGAAATATTTAACCATATATCACTTCTCTGTAGTTCAGGTATACTCCAACATGTGACCACTGAATCTGTATATAAAATAGCAAAATGTTCTAATGACAAATTTTCATTAAAACAAAGAGATTTTTTCAGATTTTTTTATGAGGTCTTTCTAACCCATTTTCAACAAGCGACTTTCTCAAAGCAAATACTTCATTAAATTTAATTCAGATTACAAATAAGTTTCTTGCTAGTTAACATGTACTTGTTGACTGTACAATTGTTTTTTACAGTTCAAAATCCATCAAATGTGTGGTGGGAATTTATATTTTTACTTAACTAGCCTTATAAGTCACCTTCTCACATGCCCATTTGTGGAAAACTTAATAGAATTTAACTTGCTTCATTTTGCAATTTTATGTATTTCATTTTAAGCATATTTCCTTCTACATGAGTGAAGTCGGAACAGGTTATTGCGTAGCTCAGATTTGTGCAGCGTTGCAACTGTGTTGTGATGTGCAAGTGACATACAAGCTCTCGCTTCTCCCATTCTTGCTTGCTAAATTTTTATAAAGGTAAATTATTCATACTGGGTTTGATTAGATTGTTAGTGTAAAGTGAGACGGGTTCTCTTTCAGCTGTGTTTTGTGCAGCTTTCCTCCTTGCCCCCACCTTTCATCTCGCATTCAGCCCTTCAGGAACGGGAAAGGACATACCAGAGCAGCAGTATCTGGAAAGGGGCCGGATTTTGCATTCCTTACAAAGCAATCCTTTTCATGGGAATGGTTCTGTTGGCTTTTTTTGTATAGCCGGTTAATGAGTCTGACCTGCATCCTTTTGGATCCTATAACACCTTTTTAACATAGCCCTCTCCTTTAAGTTTGATGTGCCTGTGCTGGATTTTTAGTGAAGTTTTATGATCTCTTTTTTTGGGAGGGTGGAGGAAGACTGGTAACTGGAGACTTTTTTTTTTAGTATTAACTAGAATTTCTGGATTTTATTTCATATGCTATTTGTAATGTTTACACAAAAGATTTAAGACTGAGTTCTTTCCTGTGTTGCTAAACATGCACAGATATGCTCCATGACAAATCTGGAGTTCACCATTTTTTCCTGTTACTCTCACGTATGTCTGCTTTTCTTGATCTTGGCTCTAGTCAGGGTCTACTGGAAAGCAAAAAAAAAAACCCAAGCTGATTTGCTTTTGAGTTCCCTGTTAAAGACCAACGACTTGAAGGTATAATGAATAATGACTTGACCAAACCAGCATTGTTTTAAGGAAAGCTAAGCAATTCTACAGTGTCCCTATGCCCTTTTATTTTACTGTTTAAAAGATGCTAGGGAGAATGAGGAGTGGTGAAGTGTCTTTTGTATCTGGAGCAGGTGTATGAAGTATTTGGATAATTGGCTCATGTATGAGTAGTCTAAGTGGGTTTTCTTTGCTTGGGGGTTGGAGATTTAAAGGCTTATCTTGCACAGCTGAGAAATGACCAAAGACACCCTGGAGGACTCATGGGTGGTAACTGAGCTTTTTTTTTTTTTTTCCTATTGGCATGTAAATATATGCAGCTGGGAGCAAAACTGTTGATTCTGTTTGGGTTACTTTACACCAGTCCTTTCATTTTGACTGCTCCTTCTTTTACCTCTGATTTCTTTCTGAGAGGAAGAAGAGGGGTGGGATGTTGGCTCCCAGCTCATACCTTCCTGTTCCTTACTCAAACAAGATGAGTCACATCCACGCCAAGCCCAATGCCACATCACTAGTGATGAGACTTTGCGGATTAAATGTGTCACTTCTGAATAAGGAGATCCTGAATACTGTTTGTTGTGTGGATTAGGCACCAGCTGCACTTACAAAACTGTTCAGGCAGCTGCTATGAATAGGCTTTCTTTTAGAACATCAAGAAGGTTGTTTCAGATGATCAGAAAGGTCACTGCTTGTGTTTTGTAACCTATCATGTCCCCAGAGCATCAGCAACACAGGCACATTACTTGTAAAGTGGATCTCTGAGTCTGCTGTGGCAGAAACAAAAGCAAGTGTTGCAATGCAAAGAGAGATGAGTTTGGAAATGGTTTTAAAATCCAAATATTTTCGGTTGCTGACAATGCTGCACCCACTCTATTCCTCGTTAGGACAGATAGGCAGTGCTACCAAAGTGGCCAGTGTTAACGGTGATGAAGAGCACTTGTGATGAGAGCCCTGCAGACCTGCTTAGCTTGGACGCGCTGCTGGAGCCAGAGATCCTGGGAAGAGGCAAATGTGGGTGTGAGATGGATAACTTGACAGCGGCGCAAAAGATGGCGATGTAAGAGATGGATGGCAGGGTTGAGAGAAAGGCAGTGATAAAAACAAAAGGCAGTAATAGTGAGACCAGTGTAAGGAAATGTAGTGTACAGTTGTCCTGACCTCACTGTCCGCAGATGCTCCCCTCCAGGTGGTCTGTCCCCCAGGTAGATGCTATGATCCCCTTGTTCTATATCCCCAGCCCTACCTACCTGAGACTTGCTTTTCTGAACGTAGGACTGTAATAGTGTATTCTTCCTTCAGGCTACGACTTCTGCCAAGTCCTCCAGTGGTTTGCTGAGAGAGTCGACCGTATCATCCTCCTTTTTGATGCCCATAAGCTGGATATATCTGATGAGTTTTCAGAGGCTATTAAGTCATTCCGTGGCCAGGATGACAAGATTCGAGTGGTGCTTAATAAGGCTGACCAAGTGGACACACAGCAGCTGATGAGGGTCTATGGTGCTCTCATGTGGTCCCTGGGAAAGGTGATCAACACCCCGGAGGTGCTGCGGGTCTATATTGGCTCCTTCTGGGCCCACCCTCTCCAAAACACAGAGAATCGAAGACTCTTTGAAGCCGAGGCACAGGATCTTTTCAAGGATATCCAGAGTCTCCCACAGAAGGCTGCTGTGCGGAAACTCAATGATCTCATTAAGAGGGCAAGACTTGCAAAGGTAAGAAAAGATTAAAAAAACCTAAATTAATTGAATGAGCAGTCTATTCTGTTTCTTTCAGTGTGTCCTTTTTCACCTTTCCCAGTGTTTCCCTACCTGTAAACTGTGTGCTTTTCAGCAAATAGATTGAATTGTCAGTTTTTCAAGGAAGAGGTAGCCGCTCAGGATATAGAAGCAAGTAGGAGGAAATCAGAGACTTGCACTGGCATACCTTCCTAACTTTAGAGAAGGGATTTGATGCTTTTTAGGCCACTAAAGCTATTGTTTGCTTGCTAGAGGAGTTAAATTTTTTTTTTTAACACTGTGAAACAAAGTAATCTTAGTGTTACTTTTTGGAGATAAACTTTTTTTTAACAATAGCTGGTATTTAGAGAGCACAAAAAAAAAAGAAAAAAGAGGGGCAAAGACCACAACCAAAACTATTCACATACTGCCTTCCATATGCTTTTTTGCATGTTAATGCCTAAATGTATACTGTCAATCATCTGCTGTGGAAAAACACTTTGACTGAATACATTTATGTTATACCCTGGAACACAAGACTGAACAAAAGCCTCACTCGTGCTGAAGCACAGGTACTGATGAATTGGTGAGGCGCTTGCACTTTAGATTGAAACTCTTGAGCCTCTCAGATTACATCCTCTTCATTCCTAGTCAGAGACGCATGGGTGATACAGACTTTGTGTGGTCATATCCAGAAAAACCCACCTCTCGTTACCCAGGAATAGGAGTTAAGTGCCCCACTGTAGGTGGCCCCTGTCACTGCTCCCCTTATTTTTGGCTCTGGAGGAGCGCATGCACTGTGAGCAACTTGCAGTCCCCAACTAGTGTGCATTGGACAGGCTGCGTGTGACAGCACTGTGACTGTCTACAGCTGACTGGTGAAAACCTGTTGAGTTTTTTTGATAGGTCTCTAATTAGCTTTGATGAATGAGTGGATGTAATGGTAAAGCTTTGTGAATTACCACCAAGTTTTAATTACCTGTTTGTAAAACCTTCTGGTTATCTTTTAACACTAATCTTCAGGCTCCCTGCTTAACAACGCTACCTTCATCTGTCCTTTCTTCTCACAGCCTGACTAGAATGAGCTTTGGTTGCAACCTGAAATACTTCTTTGCCTGTTTCTCTGATTCTGGAGTGAGTTTCTTTTACTGTAGCACTGCAGCTGCTGTTTTGATAAGAGTTAAAAGCACTGCCAAGCTTCTTGTTGCTTTGAAAAGCTCAGTGAATGCAAAATGAAAATTGGTGATTCAATAATTATGATTTGTTGTTTGGAAAATTGAATAAGAAGGAAAACTAACCTCAGAAATGCTGGGGAAAGCTGGTGAGACCAAACAGAAATTCTAATTTCCTATGCAGTTATCAAACAGAATGTGAGGTAAGTTAATGCAGTTGTCTTAGAACACATTTTATGTGGAATTCTAGGCAAAAATCAAGAGGATTTGCACTTACATTGTTATAAAAAGTCATGTGGGGATGTATACTTCCTATGTTGGCTTAATTAACTCTCTGAATATAATGATACACTTGAAGGGTTTTTTGTGGCCTGAGCTTTAGGGCACCCTGTAAGCAGTTGCTTCTTTGCAAATTCCATTTAAAATCACATTCCTGATGATGTCATGTTAAAAGTTGCTATGATCTCAATCTGTCTTGTGGATGTTGTTGGCAGCTTTTTGCTTTCATTTGTTATAGTCATTTTGGAAGTGGGAAAGTGTCAGATAGATCATCTCTAGGTGTTTTTATGTAATGTAAAACAAATATGGGTAAAGGTGAATACAAAATACAACGCTCACAGGGCACGCTGATTAGACAGCTATGGAAGGAAGTAAACTGTTTATGCAGGAAAGCAGCAATGTAATTTTTCCAGACTCGTCTTTCTATCTTCCAAACTGAACTTAAACGTACTGACACGCAAAAATATTTTTTTTACAGCATTGCATGATATTTTTTTTGTCCTATTTCTATGCCACTCTGTTCTTAATCTCTTCATGTACAGTAACCAGAATCAAACTGTTAACTTGCTGTCAAATTTGGGCATTAGTATTTTTTTTTCCTTTCCTCTGTGACTCAACTGTTCTTATCTACAAGAAACACATGTGCATACCAGCAGAGCTTCGACCCCTTAGTATACACACGTGAAACTGTTAGTGCTTGTGAACCATAAACATAATTTTTCTGGGTTTGCTAGAAGTATTATTGTAAGCATAAGATCCGTAAAACGCCTTACAATTATTTATAAACCCTCATAGAAATATCCTTGTTGAATTATTTCTGTCATTCTGGAGAAATATTCATATCTACCCTGTTAGAAAATTTCATGGGTTTATGCAGGAACACTGCTTCTTTATACTGGGGTGGGTTTTTTTTCTCCTCTGTAGAAATCTAAATTAATCTGCAATTAAAATGCATGCACTCTTTTTAGATCTGAGGAAATGATGTTGTGTGAAAGTTGTGATCTTAAGACGTGCAAATAAAAACTGGTTACACCATTTTTCTTTAAAAACAAAGAGGGTTTTTTATTCCAGTTTCCAGTAAGTCTCCTAAATACGTAAGGAAAGGAATGGGAGAGCACTTCCCTGTACAGATTGTGTAAGGTTTGTACAGAATACTATAAGGCACATTCTGTTGTATTTTGGTAGGTATTAAGTATTACACTTGCACCACATCTGCTTAATTACTTTTTTCTACTGATGGGGTTTTTTTGTGGTTGTCTTCCCCCAGTCTTCAGAACTTCAGCTTTTTACTGCTAAAAGGTTTGATCGACATTCTTATTTTCTACCTTTTTTCCTGTGTGTGTGAAAATTGTAAGTAGTTTCTGTTCTGGGAACAGCTACATCCTTTTTTAATGAAGAATGACCTGAGTTCTGCAAAGATTTATCCTGTTGTGGAAGTCATTTGACTTCAGTGGTCCTGGACAGGTCAGAGCTTAGGAAATCAGTTTGATCACATCAAGTTGTGGTAGATGTGCATTGCTTCTAAAAGAAGGCTGCCCGTGCACTTCCCTCATGTGGGCAGAACGAGTGTCAGTGTCCACACAGTGAATTGGATAAGTGAACTCACCTCAGTTAAGAAGTGCAACCACTGTTTCTGTCCTGGACCAGATCATAGAATCATAGAATGCTTTGGGTTGGAAGGGACCTATAGAGGTCATCTAGTCCAACCCCCCCTGCAGTGAGCAGGGACACTGCTAACTCTATCAGGTTGCTCAGAGCCCCATCCAACATGATCTTGAATGTTTCCAGGGATGGGGCCTCCACTGCCTCTCTGGGCAACCTGTTCCAGTGTTTCACAACCCTTACTGTAAAAAGTTTCATCCTTATATCCAGTCTAAATCTGTCCTCTTTTAGTTTAAAACCATTACCCCTTGTCCTGTCACAGCAGGCCTTCCTGAAAAGATTGTCCCCATCTTTCCCATAGGCCCCCTTTAAGTACTGAAAGGGCTCAATAAGGTCTTCCCACGGTCTTCTCTTCTCCAGGCTGAACAACCCCAACTCTCTCAGCCTTTCCTTGTAGAAGAGGTGCTCCAGCCCTCAGATAACTTTTGTGGCCCTCTTCTGGACCCGCTCTGACAGGTTCGTGTCCTTCTTGTGCTGAGGGCTCCAGAGCCAGACGCAGGACTTCAGGTGGGGTCTCACCAGAGCAGAGTAGAAGGGTGGAATCACCTCCCTTGGCTTCCTGGCCACACTGCTTTTGATGTAGTTCAGGATATGGTTGGCCTTCTGGGCTGCAAGTGCACATTGTGAGCTCACATCCAGCTTTTCATCCACCAGTACCCCCAAGTCCTTCTCAGCAGGGGTGCTCTCAATCCCTTCATCCCCCAGCCTGTATTGAGGCCAGGGGTTGCCCTGACCCAGGTGCAGGACCTTGCACTTGGCCTTTTTGAACCTCATGAGATTCACACAGGCCCACCTCTCCAGCTTGTCCAGGTCTCTTTGGATGACACTCTTTGGAGATCACTCACTGTGTGGCCAAGCAGATCCTTTTGGTGGTGGGAGGGTGGTAAAGGGGAAGAGATGAAAGGTTCCAGGAAAGAGGGTGCATGGGCAGGACAGATGTTTTGATGGCAGTGCTGGATTATCTTGATCACGGCAGATGAGAAACTCTGAGCTCTGCAAGTATCAATGTGTTTTAGGACTTGTCATCCTAAATTGATGTCTTTCCTTATATGCTGGAAAGGCTCTGCTTTTCTCCCTCAGGCTTCATGATGCAGCCATGGCACATTGTTCTTACAGTATACTGACTGCTCTGTCATCTTCTGATAGCTGCATAAATATAGACTATAAGTACTCACTTTTCTGGGAGTAAATAGGTAGGAATGCAGTGTCACTTCAATTAGATAGCCCTGCCACTTAGCATATCTCGATTACTTGAGGAATTGAGCTTCCCACAATAATTGGCGAGGCAAATGGAGTTACAAATCTCTACCACTGAGACAGATGGACCAGTATGGCTGGTGCTCTGCATGTGATCCATGCATGTAGTGTCAGGACGTCGTTTTGGGGCCTTGCTTTTCCTCTCACTGTTGGTACTGATAGAGTGCTGTGCCATGCTTCTCCTTAAACTGCAAGTGTGCATCTGTATTTCTTCTAAATGTGTTTGCTTTCTCTCTGCCCCTCAAAGGAATGCTGAAAGCAACAAAAGCCAGTTGATAACTGTTCCAGAAACAATCGTTGATAATATCTTATCCTTGAGCTGAATAAGGAAACATACTGTTTCTGTTTCTTTTTATGACCTGGGTGAAGAACACTGATGTTAAGTATTGGTAAGCCGTAGGTTTGATTTCAGTTTTGCTTCTTCTTAGGTTCATGCTTATATCATCAGCTATCTGAAAAAAGAAATGCCCTCTGTATTTGGAAAAGAGAACAAGAAAAAGGAACTGATCAGCAGGTTACCAGAGATCTACATCCAGCTGCAAAGGGAGTACCATATCTCGGCAGGGGACTTCCCTGAAGTCAAAAAAATGCAGGTAAGATGACAGGTTACACTTCCACTGAAATAACACTAACTTTCTAACAGGGTTGCCAAATTAGAAAAGGTAGGAAAGGGTATCTCAGCATTATAGTTTAGGGTCTTCAGCAGTAGAGCAGCTGAAGTGACTATCAGTCGTGTTTGTTATGGGGTTAGCATGACTTGGAAGCACTGCAGAACAAAAAAAAATTGTTAACTTGCTTAATGTGCATCAACTGATACAAGACTATAGAAATTGCTGTAAGGAATCAGACCTTCTGTCATTCTAGTCCATATTTGGTCCCTCATGGCAGATTAGTACTAAAGGTTATGTGCAAATAAAATGGCAGGGGATGCTTACGGGTTAAGCTGGTTCTTGTTTTGTGACCTAAATGTGGGTATTATATTGGTTTTGTAATGCTATTGTATACTTGTGTAGGTGAAGATATCTTTAGTCACACATTATTCATTTTTACCCTATTCTGTTCTTGCTCTTACTGGAACTGTTTGCCAGTAAGTAATAAAGGCAATGTGTTACCCATAAAAGTCCAATTTAAAACCTATCTCTGGTGAAAATGGCACCTTTCAGTTTTTTCCTGTCTTTTTGAGCTTGTATCCCATGAAGAAGAGATAGAAGTTCTCAATTCATACTCTTATTGTTCATTTTTAAATACCTTTTGTCTCTTGTTCCTCTTTTGAACTTTATGCAATCTTACTACCAACTTTCTGTCACTTTCTCACCTTTTTATTTCTGTCCTCTGATTTGAGGTGAGTTGCTTAGAGAGTATCCTAGGGAAGAACAGCTAATGTTCTGTTAGCGATGCTTTTCAATTTATTCCTCAAGCCTCAATTTGCAACTTTTGGATCTCAGATCACAGGCTTCTTAAACGGCCTTTGAATTAGAAGATAATTTGGTTTGGAAGCCAAAGAACATGAGATGAGGAGCTTGGCTAGTCAGGAGTGTAATGGAGGATGTTTTCCAGATTGACACATGCATATCCTTCTGACAATTTATGCGGTACATTTACACTGCTAATCGTAAAGAGTGATGACTGGCTGATTAACCTATCTATAGGGATGCACGAGTTTCTTTTATGAACTAAAATATTTAACTTGGGAATCAATTATTGACATGATAGATCTCTTCATAGATGAAGCACAAGATATATTTCAGCTAGGATTTCACAGGGAGCATTGTTGGAAGGGTTTCATGAGTTAGGCTTTAAAAGGGGGTTGTGTGGAAAGAGGCGACTCTTTCTTCCCTTGCCACTTCTGTTGGTGATGCAAAATGAGAGAATGAGAGATGATCACTTGTCAGTTTGAATATCGAAACAAAATTTGAATGAAACTTTATCAAACTAATTACACATGTTGCTAAACCTCAGCAGCAGATGGCAGCAAATACGTACATGAGAGATCAGTCACTTCTGTAATAAGGAACAAAATAGCGAGAAAACAAATTGTGCCAAAACAGATAGCAGGTTTGACCTTTGCTTTCTAATATTTATTGCATATCATAAATTTATACTGATCAGTTGTTGTAAATCAGGTGATCATGTATAAATGTCACCTGAACAGAGTGATGGTTGGTGGCTGGTAGTTTTCCTCTAAGAAATCCAAAGTTCTGTGTGCATGGGCAAAGCCACCTGCCTGTGCTTCAGGTTTCTTGGGTTCATATCATTATAGTTCTGACATGTATGGGAGCAGCTCCCTGAGGTAATAATGCTATTTGTTAAAGCAGTTTAACACCATTTTGAGAGGGGTTTGGAGGGTGGGGGGGCGGCGGTTCTTTGCTTTTGTGGTTTTTTGTTTTGTTTTGTTGGGTTTTTTAACAGTTTCCACAGTAACACTTTCTTACTGGCTAGCATTTTATATGTAGAAATAATTTAATAATTGCCTAAAGCATTTTTAATCTTCCAATGCTCTGGTATAAAACATGCTTGGGCTTGTGTTGGAATAGCACATATCACCTAGTTAAACATCTTACTGAGCTTAGTAGGAGTTTATGTACAAGATGAAAGCTCATCAGGGACTGTATGACTGCATGAGTTCTGGCAGCACGTCTATAAAAAACAACTGCTGCTGCTGTTATCTCAAGTCTATCTGTCTTGGTAAAGGACACTTCTTCATGACCAAACCACAAACAAGAAGTTTAATCTATAAAATCAGATGAGTCCTGCAAACTCTTGGATTTATTTTTAACTTTAAATACTTGCATAAGTGCTAGCAGGACTGAGGACCTACTTGCATGGTTTCTTTGGTGTTTGGAAGAAAATCACCAAATGGGAAGTTATTGGGTAACATTCATCAACTACCATGTTTTTAGGCATTGCCATTTTGAAAATTGTATTTTAAATGTAATTTAATGGATGAGCTCATACACTGTTGCAAAATTGTCCTAGTGTGTTTGATCCATACATTGGGTGTATGGTACATATGTGTCAGCTTTGCTTCTCCTTCAAGAGGAGTTTCAGTTATAGAAACTGCTTCAAAAGGTAACATTATTTTAATTTGAAGCCCATTCTTTAACCTCTTCAATGTATTGGAAATGTTTCTAACTACTGTCACTGAAAACTTTGCCATTGACAGGAGCTGTTGGAGACTTGTGACTTCACTAAATTTCATTCTTTGAAACCAAAACTAATTGAAGCTGTGGATAACATGCTGGCCAACAAAATTGCCTCCCTGATGAGCATGATCAGACAGGAAGAGAGCAATATGCCCACAGAGATGGTGCATGGTGGAGCATTTGATGGCACCATGGCAGGACCTTTTGGCCATGGATATGGAGAAGGTGCTAAGGAAGGAGCCGATGAAGATGAATGGGTTGTTGCCAAAGATAAACCTGCTTATGATGAGATTTTCTACACTCTGTCACCAATCAATGGCAAAATATCTGGGATTAGTGCAAAGAAGGAGATGGTGACTTCTAAACTACCCAACAGCGTCTTGGGGAAGATCTGGAAACTTGCAGACTGTGATGGCGATGGCATGTTGGACGATGAGGAGTTTGCATTAGCAAAACATCTCATCAAGATTAAACTGGATGGATATGAACTGCCTGGCACGCTACCTTCCCACCTGGTGCCACCATCTCACAGGAAACCTTTCCAGACAGCAGAGTGAAAAATACAAGGAGAAGAATGAGGATTTTGGAAATCTTTCGACAAACGTGTTGAAACCACCAAAATTTGAAATTAGGCTTAGATACTTAAACCTCACAGTGCATTTCACGCAAGTTACTGAAATTAGAAGCATGGTAAGCAGGGAAACATTTGTGTAGCTGTCCCTGCTGACCTTCACTCAGACATGCTTATCAGAAGTGCCTTGTGTAGATCTATCGTAAAGTGAAAATGTTTTTGTAGTCCTGCTCCTATGTCTTGCTGCCTTTACAACCATACTGCAGAAAAGACCATGTGTAAAAATCACTGACGTTCACCAGACATAAATACTTATCAACCGTAAGTTTCTCCAAACTATTTCAAATAGCTCAAGAAAGCTCTAAATGTTAAATTCACCTGCCTATGCAAGGAACGTTTTCTATGCTAAAAACATACTTTAGGCATCGAGTGAATGTCAGCATCTCCATAGTTTAAGAAAAGGCTGATCTAAATGGAAATTTTATTTTTGTTCTTTTTATAATTTGATAGGGGGTTAGAAGAAGAGAGGAGAGTAATGGGAGAGTCTTTTAAGTGCTCAGAATGTGAGCAGACTTGTTTTTAAACTTTACTGATTATAGCTAGAACTGCAAAATATTAAAATGATTCTTTTAATCTGTCATCACTGTGTCCTGTTATCTGAAGAACTGCTTCTTCAGTTTTATACAGCACTATATACTTGGTATTATCATTAGAAGAACTGAACCTCCTTTGTTCCTTGGATTTGGAATTTCTTTTGAGGTTTCAGTTTAGCTGCTCTGCAGACAATAAATTCCTGAATTGTTCAAAGTGACAGCAGAATGTTTTCATAAGCTTAAAAAAAAAAAATTGCATTGCCATTGAAATCAAGCCTCACTTTCTGTTCAGAAAAGGTGCGTTGCTTAAAGTCAGCCTCTTCAAAGCACATCAAATTTTCTCGGGAAATTTTCATTGGTATTTAATTTCTATTTACAGGTAATTATATAGTTATCTCTCTATATTTTTTTACATGTAATATTTTTAAGAAAAGTTTTTAACTTTCTTTTGCTAACACGTAGCTGACAACCACAAAAGAGAGATTAGATTCCCATGGTGGCAGATTTGAAAGACAGGGAGGCTAACAGGAATCATTACATTGACTGTAATAAATGACAAACTGGTCCCTCCAGATATTATTTCTTTATTGAAAACAATCCCTGAAAGGAGTGGATGCTTAATAAACATTTGTTTTTCTAACAACATGATCAAAGTTGAACACATTGGCTGCTTACAACTGATTTTTATCAGTACCTTAAAAGAAGGCGAATTTTTGGCCCTGTGAACTTGAGTCTTACAGGGAGGGCCAGTTCTTTTCTAAAATCAAACTTGGCAGTCAGTTTTGCTCTCTGCCTGTGAGCAGGAATTGACTTGTATTCCATTTGTAGTATGAAATACCCTACATATCAAAGGTACTGTAGTCTTGAGCACTTTTTTCTTTGAGTCTCAGTAAGTGGTAGTAGTAGTGCCTTCTGAAACAGAGCTAAAGCCAAAAAGTGGTTTAGCATCCTTGCAGTAGGGGTGGGGAGGGAAGTAGTTTGGGTATTGTCTCCCAGTTAAAATTTTAGTCACACGTGTTCAGATTTATAGGTGACCTAAGAGCAGCCTTGGTTTCCTTCTTTCAAATCATGCACTTGTAGGTTGTCAGTCAGGTTTAATACTTCAGATCTTTCTGGACCTCTTATCTTTCTGCATCTGTTCTATTCTGATGTGAAATTACCATGAACTTTGCTAGGGCTCTACCATGAGAAAACAATGAAGCTATTTTAAGTAATGACACAAGAACACCTTTACCTTGCCAGGCTTCCAGGCCTGTGTCAAGGATATCCTGGCATAGTTAAATTGTTCTTGAGGACTTGCTTGGTTTTTTGTGTTGTTTTTTTTTAAATCTTAGGTTTTTCTCTTATTGTTCAAGCATACCGACTTTATTTCCTTTAGACCTAAATTAGGAGCCAAATTAGCCTTAGTGCATCTCTGTGCACTTTAGTAGAGCTGTGAAACTTGACCATGAGCCTACCTGTGACTGTACGTCTGCAGAGTAACTGATTTTCTATGTAATTTATTTTTGATGGAACCAAAAGTAGTCTATAGATATTGCAGGAGTTGTTAAAAAAAAAAAAAAAAAGCAGGCTGCAGAAGTAGTAATGTTTGCTTGTTTGTGTGTGGTGTCTGCAGTCGGTAACAAATTCATACACTAATGACCAACCTGACTACTGAAGGAAAGCCACCAGGAGAAGGCAAGCAAGCTTGTCTATTGTGACTACTGTAGTGTGGGCAAAGCTGAGAGGATCTGGGAAGTTGCTGATCTTCCGACTCTGTCTGCCTTACCTTGCTCTTCAGCAGCACAGGGTTCCAGGGGTGGACCCATGTTTGAGTCCCCACTGTGTGTAGCTTCCAGGGGTGATGCTCCAAATGCTTTGGAGCCATGTGATCCCATGCCAGTAGAAATATCCTCCTTCAGTGAAGCGGAGCAGGATAGTTTCTCAGTGATTTTATTATATTTTTATTTTTATGGAGAAAACAGCCTTTTCCTCAGTCTCTGTAACAGTGTGCTAACTCGGGCTTAGGGGAGACAAATTGAAATGCATCATTCTGATAAGTTAAAATATTTTGTCTAGTTGGGGTTGAAATACCTTGCTTTGTTTTCCTGTAGAATTTGGAAGGGGAATGTGTGAAGCACGTTACAGGAGCAGAGATGGATTTTCTCTATCCAGAGGAATAGAAGTGTTTCAGGATTGGCATGCAGAAATGCATAAATGCATTTCTAGATATCTGGTGCAGTGCACTAGCATCATACTTAGTTGATACCAATAAAGTACACTTCATGTGGACTTTAAACAACAGTTTCTTGTACAGCTGAACTGATAATGGTAGGTTGCTGTTGTTCAGGGGAAGGGATCTCTTTTTCTTGCTACCTCCTCGCAGACCCATGGGCCTACTCCATTTGCCTTGCTGGCTCTCTGGCTTGTCAGATCCTGCAAGCCCGCTCAGTGAGTTAAACCAGCCACATGCAACAGTTTGGGTAACGCTCTGCGGAGTTAGTGAGTCCATGTGTTAGGAGCATGAGAAGTGAGCAGGATTACCTCCTCTCATGAAATTGTGCCCTAAGTAGTTATGGGGAACAGGAGTATGAGGTAACCTTTGGTGTTCAGTTTGATGTTACTAATACCTGCTGAAGAAAGACTAAGATGTTGGATTTGTTGGCCATTTTATGCCTAGGACTTTGATTACGGTTGCTGCGAGGCCATTCAACACTGTCAGTAATTCATCCTGTGAAATCAGGTGGTGTAGTCTGCTGCTGTGAACCAAAGTAGAGACTGCCACTTTTTTCTCTTCTCTAGCTATTCTGCAACACAGTTTTAGTTCCCAACCCTAATTCTCTTTGCACAGAAATTAATTAGAATCTTATTGTAGATTGGATGAGAAAATGTGGGGCCTACTGCTCATAACCACACTACAGGACAGCAAGAGCCTTTTAAAGCTGCGACAGCTTGAAAATGGTGAGTTTACAAAGATTTTGGGTCAGGGTGAGGTCCCAGTTTGTTAGTTGGGGGTGGTATGGATTTGTGTGGAACCTGGTCTCAAAGCAGCAGTATCCAGTCCCTGACTTTCAACAGCATTTATGCTGAGTACTTGAAATGTGCCCTCTTTTTTCTCCTTCTCACTTCCTTCCCTTCACAACCTGCACTCACTTTGGTGGCTCTTTATATTGTTGGAATTCAAGGAGAGTTTGAAGTGTATGGCTTGATGGGTATGTGTAACTTAGCACTGAAAGAATGAACATGAACTTTGTTTTCTACTACACGTGCTCACATTTTCTAATATTATTGTTAAATACTGTATTTTCACTTCAGAGGCACTCTAATTTTGAGGGAAGGTTTGATCTGTGCAGTGTGCTTCAGTTTGTCCAGCTAGGCAAACAAAGTTGTAAGTTCATGATTGTTGCACTTTTATTACACAATAAATTCCTCGCAGATACTGTAATATATTTTAATATGCTTTGTAATCATTTTTAGAAGGTGGTGATAAAAATTGCTGATTTAATAAACTAATATTGAATTACCTGAGTTTTTCTTTTGTAAGCTGCTTTCTGGAAGGTAATCTTTCAGTGACTAGAATTTGGTAATCCTGCTACTCAAGGCTCCTAGGCATAATGGCTATTTGGCAAGGTGCTTGTTTTCCCACCTCGGTTTATGTATCCATAATAGGCTATGGCTATTTCTCTTCTGTGTCCTTGACTTTTTGCTGAAATTACTGCCCGTGCCAAGGCTTGACTCCAGAATTAAATTTGTATTTAAAAAGGGGAAATAAAAACCACCCTCCAGCACCTCTCCATAATTAGCTTTTTATAGCAGAATGTAATTTTGGAGTTTCTTAATGTCTAAGTATGGAAATTTCCAAGTGTGGAAGATAAATCAATCCATACACAAAGGTTTTGAGAGCTTGAAACTTGAGCTGAGAGGCACTTCTTTTAACTTCAGTGGGGGTACTAACCTTGAAAAATAAGAGTAGATTAAATAGCAGTTTAGCAAAAAGTACTTTATTGAAATGTTTGTCCCAAAAAATAAAAGGGCATCTTTCACACTGTGCTACCTACTACCTATAAATAACCATTTATATCAATACAACATTCATATTAATATTGTGCTTAAATTAATTCCTCCTGCCCTTCTCCCATATACACACAACTTACATGATGCATCTCCAAAGATACATCTGTGCCACCAGGATGCTATTGCTCCTGCTGCTAGCACATTTGAGTTGCTATGTAGCAGTGTTAGCAAGCTAGGCTGTTGTGCTCATGATGGTCAGGCCATATGTCACATGAAAGCAAGTGTTTCACATGCAAACAGTATGTTGTGGGTTCCTGGAGGCTATGCTGCTATTGACTTGCAGTGGCTTGTTTGAACTGTTCCTTATAGGAGTCAGAAATAGTTTGGAGATGCTGAAGTTTCAAGTGGGGGTTTGGGTTTTGCTTGTTTTTTTCTTTTTAGTAGAATGGTGTTTTACATACTCCACATATAAGACATTTCAGACTTTGACAAATTTGCAGCACGCTTCTTCGTTAGATGTTCTGCTCTAATCCATGGTTTATATTCGGACAACAGGAAAAGCGGATGAATGTCTACACTACCAGTTCAACTGTAAGTTTTGCAGTAATTGTTAATTCTAATATTTGGCACCCTTAAATTGTGAACTGTTTCTATTTATGCCTACCATACCATTTAGTTTCTCCTAAACCTCGTTACTCACCCCCATGTTTGGTGTATTTGTAAGGGCTTTTGAGCAGACACTACTTTATTCTGAGCTTCTCTGATCCAAGAGAACACGTGCCTAAACCCAGCAAACACCTGTTGTGACCAAAACACAGTCAGGAGGAGGTATACACGTTTTTCACAAATATATTCAGAAGTCCTGTGTCTATACAGCTTTGCTGACCTCTGAGAGGAAAAGATCTTTTGTGCAAACCATGGTGTTGAGATGGGTTCCTTTCCCCACAGGACTTTATGCCAACACAGATTTGTACCTGGTGATAGACCATGGACTCTCAGTTGCCTTCTGGTCCAGTGAATACTGGAAACTTGTTAATGCCAAGTCTAGCTTATTCTCCCACCTATTCTTTTCTCTGAGATGTAGCTTCTCCGTGATCTTTCCAAGGTGTGGCTAGCTCGGCATCCCATATTCTACTTCATCCTGGAGCTCTGAAGATTTCACTGTAATGAAAGTAGCTGATTTTACATGGATGGTGTGGATCTCTCACCGGATGGTGTATTTCAGATGCACCATAAGATTTCTATGTATGATTATCTTTTTTTTAAACATTTTAAACAAGGAACTGATGAAAGATGCTGCTCATGCTTAGTGATTTCCTATTTCAGATTATTCTGTGGTTTTTCTCAATGCATTAATTTCATGACTAGTCTGGAAGTAAGAAATGAACCAACACAGTAACTATAACCAGTAAGGTCAGGGCTTGGCAATTTTAGCCTACAATGGAGAGTAATTGCAATTTTTCTTCATTTTGCACTACCCTGTCTTACCTCTTGTCTGCTAAAATTTGCACTCTTAATGTTAAGTGTTTATACAATGCTCTGTCTTTTGCCAACTACCTTCAATCATTCCATGTGACTGGGTTGCCTTCACAATGAAACTGGGAAGTCTGGGCTGGGAGAGAGCTGTGACTTTAATCTGTAATCTGCTGATGTGGGACAACGGGGCACCAAAACCTGAGAGCACACCGTGGTGGACACCATCCCTGTGGGTAGGGTGCAATGCTCTGGCACTAAGGGTGCTGGGAGCCAATCTGTATGCAAGCCTCACAATTTTGTTTCGTAGAGATAAATAGAGCTAAGTGCTTTAGCACACCAGCATATAAATAACCTCCTAAAATACAGTTGTAAAGGAGAAGTAGTTTTGCCCTTGTGCAGTGATCTTCCTTAGTAGCGATGACTAAAAATGAAAAAAAATCTGATCCATATGATATAAATACACTAGTTAGATCTGGCATTGCCAATGTAGCAATTTGAGGCCCATTTTCAGTATAATGTCCACAATATTAAGGATATTCTGCTGCTTGAAACCCTTTATCTGTGTTTGTATGAAATGGAAAGAGAAATACAGTTCTCTGTCCCATGCATTCATCCTGCAAAGCCTTTGAAGCTCTTACGTTAACTGTTTGATGTTCAGAAACAGAAAGAAAATGTCAAGATAATATAAACAGCTCCAAGCAGAAAATGTCTTTAATTCATGACTAAACAAGCAAACGTGTATTTTCTGTTTCAAAAAGATGACTGAACTTCTTCGTGCCAGGAAAAATAAATCCATCTGATTTAGCTTTAAGCTGTCCTCTTTTTCAAATGCAGTGAGGGGCTCCAGTTCCTTTGGATGACGTAATTCAACTGTTCTGCTTGAATTCTGCTCCCTGTTGATGTCATGTTGCCGCTAGCCAACTATTCAAAGAGAAAAGCAACTTCTAGTTTAGACTAGAGCATGGGAAGGCTGAGGCTTACAACAACCCAGCATCCCAGGATGCCGGTTTAAATCCTCCCAGGCAGAGCTCAGCTTTCAGAGGAGCTGGGGCTTCATCTGCCGGGGCGCCCCTGTCTGTGGGCTGGTAGCACCCTGGGGTGGCTGCTGACAGCGGCGCTGGGAAGGCAGGTATGTGGCGGGCAGAGGGGGGGTCTGCCTGGGGGGTGTGAGCTGGAGCCCCTCGGGGAGAGAAGCCAAGGAAAGTATTTGGCTATTTAGGGACAAAGTTCAGCCGAGAGGCCTGTGAAAGCAGGGAATTGGTGCAGGCTGATGGCTAGAGGTCTCCATGCCTCTCCTAAGCTGCTTTGAACTAATTCCTCAAGTCTTCTTCAGCCGTAGTATCCCAAATGAGCAAACAGTTTCTTGCAATAATTACTGCCTGCTGCTCTCTAGTGTTCTCAGTATCCAAAGCGTAGCTCCTCTGTGCCACAATGAGGTCTAAGATTTGCTGTAACCCAAGATATGGTTAAGAAATATTCTGGGACCGTGGTTTACCTCACCTGTGCCCACACTGCCTTGGTGAAATGGAACATCAGCTGTTTCCTGGAGCTGGGGAGGGTGGCAGAGGGGAGGGCTACCTGTGGGACCCGGACTGCTGGCCTCAGGCGGCAGGTTAGTTTCTGTGCTTCCTTAAATGCAGCGGCCTGCAAGACCATGGCCCTATGAGGGGGCTGCCTTCCTACTCCACAGGGTCAAGGCCCAGATATTTGTTGTTTTGAGACTCTTACATGTGGAAACAACATGGCTGGAGACACAGTGGGGGGTAGAGGGCTGAGCTGTCATGCACATGTTTGCACTTAACATACTTATTTCCTTTGAGATTTGGGGAACCTTCTCCTTAGCAGAGATCAGACAGGATTTTCACGTCCCTTCAGGAGTGTGTGTATCCAAAGCATGTGTAATGGAGGATGACGAGCTGTGCCAAATCTGTCATCGGAGCCATGTGAATAAACTCAGTCCTCTCTAAGAGCAGGCATGAGTATGGGCTTTTATATCGGAGCTGGCTTTGCTCAGTGGCAGCTGAGAGCATGGATGTCATAGCTTGGTACAGTTGAAGGGCTCATGTAATTACAGGACTGTCAGCTGTGAACGGATGAAGTGGGGACACTTTGGCACGTGAGGGCATCTGCACCTGCCTGTGTACAGGTATTCCCCTCTGGCAGACTCCTCCATGCTGGTGGGCGAGGGCAATGACACAGGAGGAAGCCAGCGCTGCCGCCTGGAGAGTGGGCCCAGGGGAGCCTCCACATGACCAGGCCTCTGCTGCCCTGAGAAAGCTCCCGCTGACCAGCCCTTGCTCAGGTCAGGGATGGGAGCAGCAAACTCCACATCTGCAACCCTCTGCCGGTCCTGTGACTGCTGCTTTTATACTCTTTGCGACAGGGGGGCTAAACATTTCTTCCCATCTTAGAGAGAAGCTGGGAATTTGCATACGTGTTGTGGGAGGAGGAAGATAACTATATTTTGGAAAAAAAGAAATCCAAATAAAATTTCTAATAAGTAGAAAGTAAGTGTCACATCCCTCTGTTTTATGTGGCGTTGCCAGGAGTGGAAGAGCAGTGGGGGAAGGGTTGGGCGCAGAGGAGCTTTGGGGCTGCAAGCCAGGCTGCTTGGTCATTGAGGTCTGTTTGATCTCCCCAGCCTCTGTTTACATCTTAAGCAGAACAAGACTGTGGGCAGGTAAGAAAGGCTGCTAAAAAAACCTAACATGTCTTATGTGGCTGCTACTTTGCGGAAGGGAGTCCCACATCAGGGTCCTTTTAAGAAATAAGAGAATGCTGCTGTCACCATGGAAAACCACTTCAGACTGAAAATGGGGCAAGGGGATGGTGCTTCTGGGGCCCTTCTTCTTGAGTTTGGTGGCAAGGCTCCCCTTCTCTGCAAAGGCAGTAAGAGGGCCTATAATCAGCCTGGAGGGGTGATTTTTTTTTTTCCTGGTTCCTCCAGGAAACTGCACACAAATGTGTGTGTTTTGTGCCCTTCCTCTTACCTTGTTAGGATATAAATAACTGAGGAAATATCTTTATTTATCAGTGTCACATAAATGTCCACCATTTTAAGTCTGAACCGTAGATAGATACTACAAATGGAGATAGATATTCAGAATTTAGTGAAATTTTATACCAGATCTTTGACTGCCTTGTATAATCATAAAAAGCAAAGCCAGTGTTTCACACCTTTAATCCTTTAGATAATAATTAACTTGCAATAGGGAGAAATGCCTGTATCAAGGACCAGTTCACCTCCTGGTCCTCTGCATTCTATTTGACAGGAGCCAAGGACATTTTCTCAACACACACAGAACCTAGCCAACCTGTACCAGATTTAAGCCAACAGCCTATAATCCTACCCTTATAAGACCGTAGGTATAACTAAAAGCAAGACAGAGAAGAGAAGAGTGGAAGTATAACGAGGCAATGAGCTTAGAGAAGAGATGTAAGCAGTTGCTGAATTTATATCCCTTTCCTCCTGACATCCTATTTCCATTTAATAGTCATTAAGAATTACATCGTATGAGCTGGCTGGTGAACAAAAGTCCAGGAATTTGGAGGGAGTATTTTGAGCAATACCTGTAACACAGTATTCAATTTTTTATTATTAGCTGTCTTATGTGACACTATGTATGACATTTCTCTAGAGTGTGTATGAAGATACAGATTTTGTTGATCAAGTTTTATCTGTACTGAGTTTTGGGCGAGATGTTCATTTCTTCTCATGTGTTTTCTCCCATTGCTTTTGGATGTTAACTAAACTACACTTGCCAGAAGGAAAAAGACCACTATTCCCTTACCTCATCTCTGAGCTGGACATCTTCACTTACAGCTTCTGATTTCAGATGCCTGCCTGTTTTCCAGCAGTGATTCTAGCTCTGGTTCCCGGCAATGATGCCAGGTCAATGTGTTCTGTGCTTGTGCAACCGTGTAAGTGACAGAAAGGACTCGCTGCTATATAAATTCCCAGAATTATTTTCCCTTTTGTCCATCAGTGGTAAATTTTGGAAGCAGCTGGCACTGCTGCAGCTGGTACTTGGTCCCAGTTTGCCTTGCCAGCAGCAGGTATCTGTGCACATGAGCTTCCTCAAAGCAGAGACTGGCAAATTCCTAACACTTCACAGGTTCACCTTCTAGTTTGCTGTATCCCAATTTAACCACTTGGGAATTGCTCTGATCTTTGTACCATCTGCTGTGCTTTCATTTTCAGAATCCATTGTTGGGTTCAATTTCCCAGGTAAGAATTTCTTTAGAAAAGCAGCCTGTGGTCAGTCAGAGCTTTCAGTGAAATTGGGAAAGATGGTCTTTACCAAAGCATCAGCATGGTGGATGACTTCTTTCACTGCTTTATTGCAATTTTGATGAAGTTCATGCTTACTTTTGAGCATTAGAATCAGACAAGGCCTGTGACAACCTTTACTCATTGTGTTCTGATGGGTTATTTCCTTCAGATCAGATGAAAGGTTCATAGGTAGATCATAAACACTTGGTCTCTATTCCTGAATTCAAAGGTCGCTTTGCATGAAAACAGCGAGCCGAACATAGGAATAGGAGTGGATCTACAACTGAAAGTCATTCTCCAGAATGACCAACTGCTGAGTGTCAGAATGGAGTTCCTCCAAACCTGAGTAAGTCCATTTTTTTTTAATGTTCTTTCATCTTTTTTCTGTAATGTATCATTGTAGCCAGATTTGGCTCTTAGCACTGCCTTTGCATCCTGAAAATGCAGATAAACTATTACAGATCTGTCTTCGGGTAATCCATCTACCAATGCAGCGAGCATTTCTAACTTAATTTAATAAAACAGGTGAGCCGTTGTGTGTGGCAGTAGCTCAGCAAATAAGCTCCCTTTGCACCTAAATGAAATCAGTTTGCTCATTGTTCGGGGTGGCTGCAATGCTTGGCTAACAACCCTTTTTAGAAAGGAGCCTGTGGACATTCTGAGAATCATTTGGGAAATTCAGAAATGACATTATGATATGGATTAACTATATGGGTCCATCACTTGGGAGTGAGTTAATTTCACACCTCTGGCAGGGAGAGGCAATTCTTTGAATATCTGCTCTCCAGTTGGAGAAAATAGTCAGTGCTGAACTAGCCCAAAAGATCATAGAATATTATGAGGATCTTCTTTATAGTTCCATTTCAAACTTTGCTAAATTCTTCCTTTCATAAGGTTTTCATCTATGGTTGTGATTCTTCCCTGTGCTGTGGCTGAACTGTCAGGCTTCAATGCTGTCCCTGTTTTGCAGAAGTCAAGCACTGGGGGTTAAGAAACAGCTTAAAAAAAAAAAAAAAGTAGTAACTAATCATTGCTTCTGTGCTTCCCACACCTTTTAATCTTGTAAAATGTCAAAATTCTTTATATTTATTAGAGCATGGAAAACTATCAGGCAAGCAACTTCCCATTTGCAGTGGCTGCTGTTGCTAGTTCCCTATTGCTGTCGTCTTATACTAGGACAGATAGCGGGGGGTGGGGGAAGGTGTCAGTATTTTGTTTTATGAATTAAAAGGGCATAGAGTACAGAATAGCTCAAACTGGGCCTTCACAAAACAGACACAGAATATTTGGGAAGCAGGTCACCCTGCTCCGCACCTCCGCAGTTTGACAGTTTTTTTTATTTTTCATTCCCTGCTCTCTTTGCAGTGGCTTGACAGCAGCAGACACCTCTCTCCTCTTCCACCATTGCAACAGGTTTCTTGGTTTCACAGCTAGGCTGATATCCAGGTAATACTTATAATTATGGCAGTAGTCCAAGCAGATGTTGTTTGGTCACTGAAGAATTCTGTAGCTATGGATCTTACACTGATATTTTTTTTTTTTTTTAAGTGATTCTCTTGACTTCATAACAACAAGGTCACTGCTGTTACAGATTTACACCATAAGCCAAATGACTCCAAAAGAGTTGTTCGGCTGAGCTGAAATGCAGTTTGTTGTGCCACAGACTAAAGGGAATATTACTGCTTTCTGATCTTCCTGAATGTTCAGCTCAGGTGCTGTGATGAATTCCAAGCCTGATTTTTCACTGATATGGATGAGGCAGACAAGTGTGTGACAGCCTGGGGAAGAGGAATAGCGCTTTCCGACTCCCAACCCGGGACCTTGTCTGTGTGATAATGAACCTGTGTCACCAGCCTTACAGTGACAGATATGCAAAAACTGAGCTCATGAGAGGAAAAAACCAAGTTGGTTCCATTTCCTTTCTAAGCAGCTGTTTGATTTCTGTTGGAAATACTGTGGTCTAAAAGCCACAGCAGCATCTCAACCAGTCCTCAGAGAACATAGCACACTTCCAAACACTGTGTTGGAAGTGGTTTGCAGATCCCCCTTTCTGACAGTTCTCTGTCATGTGCTTCCAGCACACGCAAGGAAGTTATTGGTGGCTTTCAGGTCATGGTGCTCATGAGATCAAGTGACTGAGGAGAGAGTGAAAGAAAGAAAGTAAAGCTGCATAGATACATGTCAGTTTCTTCCTGAAACTAGAGATGCATTTTAAAAGGGAGAACTCAAGTAAGTTAAAAGTCGAGTGAAATTAAAGTGCAAAGTACAAGTAAAAGGAAATTAAGGTATTATACTGGGTGTGGTATTGAATCTTGTACCTGTTGGGGCTGGGTTCCCTACATATACTGGGCATGTTACTGATTTTTGTAGCTGACCGGGCAGATCTCTTCAGCACTGAGCACCTCACTGGAGTTTCTGACTTCCTAGGTAACCATGGGTACTGAATATGAAACAGGTCATATCAAAAAGCTGCAGGAGCAGCGTATGTCCATGCAAAAGAAAACCTTCACCAACTGGATGAACAATGTCTTCTTCAGGAATAATGTAAGTAGCTCCTTCAATTTGGGGAATTTTTTTGTGTGTGTTTTATTTTATTTATTTCACCCACTGTATTTTTTTTTTTATGTTATTTTTTACATATTTTTCCTGAGCTTTGTCATTACACATATATGCAAGCAAGGAAGACTGACTAACCGGAGTGCTTCAGCCTGTATCTTTTACCTTACATCTGTCTCCATTGTCCATGTTACCAGTCTTCCCTGAAATCAGGGTTCGCTTTTGTAGACTTACAACCCAGTCATATTGTGATGTCCACTGTATCTTGGTGATTATCTCAGAGGAAGATCTTTATTTGCAACTAAAGTATCTGCAAATGTCTGGATTTCCCCAAGCAACGCTCAATTCTTAATTGACTGGCCAAAATTAAAGATTCTCTGCTTTCCCTGATCAGTCCAGCTTGAGTTGCTGCTCAATGGCTTTGAAAAAGTTGCCTTAAGTCTAGCAATTTCAGACATACTACCATGCAAGTACAGACCAGTTTGTTTTCAGTAAGTCTCAGACTTCCAAAAAGCTTCAGAGCTAGAGTGCAGTTGATTTATGTGTGCAAGGTAACTCCAACATACTCCAAAAGTCTCCAGACTTACTGCAGATAAGCTCATTGCAGGCACAAATTATGTAGCTGTGTCACACATAGTAGGGAATTACATCATTGAAAACCAATTCCCTTTTCTAGAGTCTGTAGTTGATATTAATGAAAATGGACCTTGGCAACACCAAGCAGGACCAGGCCTTTTGGTTCTGTTTTAGCTCATCACTATTATATGAAGTTTCAGTACTAGACACATTTTTTTTCAGTGTAACGTTTGGTGATTGGTGCAAAGGCAGCCTCAGAGCACAACAAACTTTAAAATTTATTTTTCTTCATGTGAGAGAAGAACTGCAAAACACGTTCTGATTTTGCAACCTGCAGAAAGTTAGGTTTTTATGGTGTAGGAAATTATTTCTGTTTAGCTACAGATAAATATATATGCTTTCTCATTTCAAAACCACCTTCCAATTCAAAGATTAAAATGTCAGTCTTAACTTCCTGTACAGTACTTGTTCTTGTATCATAAAAGCATGGCAAAAAAAAAGCCTGTGAGAGCTTTCCAAACCATATACGTTAAGAAATGGTGCAGAGACTGACAGCTTATCTAGGTCTTCTCAGCAATGTAATCTCAGCTTTTCAACACATTTTAACGTGGTTGGATCACGCTACAGTGGCAGGGTTAGGTTAATGGTTGGACTTGATGATCTTAAAGGTCTTTTCCAACCTAAATGATTCTATGATTCGACAGGACACTGCAGTATTCTCAGTTGCACTGTTGACTATGTCAGGTCTAGCACTAAGGATGCTATTGGATTGAATTTGTTAAGCAATCTGTCATTGGTATCTTTATGAGAAGAATGATGCAATAAAGCTATTAAAACTATTGCTGGGTGAGCCATAAAACAGGTATATGAAGTCTGTCTCTTTACAAATTTAAATGGAACTATTCTTCATTTACAGAAGCGTCACAGAATATAACACTAACTTTTTTATGGTGATACACTGTAGGCAGAATTTTAAGTTTATTTAATATGCAAAAAGAAATAAAGTTGACAACTAAACAGGGAGCTTTTCATGGGATGGTCAGTCAGAGGAAGTTGTACATTCTTATTCCACACACAGTACAGACTTAAAGTCTTTCTGAGTTGCTTTTACACTTCCAGTGTTTTCTTCTTTCTCTGGAGAAAAGACCTGTTAACCTGTTAATCAGTTTAACAATTGGTCAGGAATGAAAAATTGCTTGTCTGCTACTTGTCCTTTTTTCCCCCTACATGTAACTATTCTCTGATTTGAAAAAGCTACTGCTTCAGATTTATTTTTTTTTCTGAAGACAAAAAGATTATTTACTGTGATTTCAAAATCACAGTAAATTATTGTTGGGTGTGTGGTATGGTTTTAATGTCACTTCTTGATGGCTAGTGGCACAAGGCCAAAAGGAAACACCCAAGGCAAGTTCTTGTTAGGTCAGAGTACACACCATGTCCTGTCATATTACCTAAGCACTGGGTGACCTCACTACTGGCAGAAATTAAATACATTTTTGGAAAGATCTTAATCTTTTGCTTAGTGTGAGACTCTGTCTAAAAATATGGAGACTTTGGGTGGTAGTGCAGGTCTAAGCAGGATGTAACAGACTTTGAGACTATGGAGTAAAAACTGAGTCGCTGAATAGGATCATCAGCTCAGTTTTTAAATTAAATGCATTGCTTAGAATAAAAAGTTGAAAAGATTAATTTGAACTGAAATAAAAAATGCCAGCACTTCCAAAATGTTTGGTTTTGAAAATGCTGAATTTTTTAATATTTTTCAAAAATCTCCTGCTTTTTTCTTTCTTTGCCAGTTGAGGGGGCGGGGTGTGTTCTACTTCAGCCTGTTTTCATAAATGATGTCAGTCCTCCTGCAAATCCATTTTTTGTGAATTGAGATCAATCACTTTTCATACCTGTGCACTGATATACAGAAGACTCAGTGAAACAGCAAGAATGTGTTTTGGTTAGTATTAGAAGTAGAGGGTTCTGTGGGCTGGACGTTCAGCCAGAATCTGTATTGTCTGACTGGCCTTTGCAGGTGAAGGTTGAGATAGAAGATATTTACATAGACTTGAAGGATGGCATCTTTCTCATGCAACTCCTGGAGCTCCTCTCTGGAGAAGCTTTGCCCACACCAAACCGGGGAAAGATGAGAGTGCATTTTCTAGAGAACAACAGCAAAGCTATCACGTTTCTGAAATCCAAGGTAAGTTAATATCAATGTTAGAGATAACAATAGCTTAAGTATGTTACTAAGTAATGATAGTATTATGCTCATGATTTCCCCCTCTAATACACAGTAAGATGTTCTTTGAAAACAGGCCAGGGGTTTTAGTAAAAGAAAAAAGTCATCAGACTTGAATTTCTTTATTATTCGAGTAACATGACTTATAAACAGCTAATGTTCCCCCAAAACAAGTCACACCTCAATGAAAACATGCTGCATTTCTATATCTTTTTATATCTATCAGGTGTTGGGGGAGACTAAACATCATTAGGCAAACGTGAAGCTATCTGTTATAATAATGGAGATTTTTAGAGCTCTGATTCTAACAGGTTCAGCAAGTCATTGCCGTGGTTTTATTTATCTAGTTGTACATCCTCATTTCAGTTGCAAGTTAGTATGTAATCTATTTTCTTTTCCAAGCAAACAATTTATTGTAGACCTCTCTGGAAAATCATCACACAAAACTCTGCTATGAATTCCAAAGGAGTAGAGGGGTTTCATAGCAGCAGATGTGGGAAAGTATACGATGCCTGGATTTTTGCTGATTACAAAACAAATGCAATACAGCACAGGGCTCCACTTGCCACATACCTGCTAAGGGTACTCACCATGTAAAGCCCAGTGGTACGTGCACCAGCCGACTGTCCCTTGTCACATGCATTTGTCACACGAGTCCAGCCTCCAGAGAGGGGATCCTGCAGCTAGCAGGAGCCAGTATAGCATGCTCAGACTTTTTGAAGAGTTATTGCCTTGTCAGCATACACTACAGCCCTGCCTGCTGCTCAAGTAATAGTGGAGAAGGCATCCGTCCCTTGTTTAGTAGGATGTTTGTACTGTTTGGTGAGCCCAAGAACTACATGCTGACTAGATGGATGGGGACCAGACAGAGGAGATGGTCTCTGAGTTTGTCCTGCCATCACTCCTTTGGAGGGAAGGAGCACTGACTTGTGTTTCTTTCCTCTCCTTAACAACGGGTTTTCAAAACCCTTATAGGAACTTTAAATCCTTGAGACCACCATCCCTTTGCCTGGCTTTTGCTGAAACTCATCCTTGTTGCATGTCAGAGCTAGGGTGTGAACATGGGAGCTCGTAGGTATATAGATAAATGAAGAGATCACGTAAAACCAGTTTCCTTAAGAAAACAGCCTGGACACCCTCTTCAGTAACAGCGTGTTACACAGATACCTCCATCAGAGACCTGGACATGAGTACTTTTATGCTGAATGGATATTGTTTTATTAGCAGGTACAAGTAAAAGTGATTGGTCCTGAGAATATCGTAGATGGTGACAGAACCTTAATCCTGGGACTTATCTGGATCATTATACTTCGATTTCAGATTTCATCTATCAAACTTGATAAGGTAAACCAGGGTCACTGGCTTTTTGCCTGATTAGAGTATTTCAGAGACTTTGTAGAGTTTCAGGCCAGCAAGGACCATCTTGGTGATGTTTCCCACCCATTTTGATCATGCAGGTCTTATAATATTACCCAGTTACTCATCCAGCAATTTCTAAAAGCAATTGAATCCATTTTATAGTTTCTCAAAGAGATAGAAAACAATAACTTGGAGACAGAAAGGATATTCTTGTTCCTTCACTCTCCTCCACAAAATTTTACTGACTTTTGACTCCAGAAAAAGGTATCTGTGACGACAGTTCTCTCTAGATTTGAACTGCATGCTTCTCCTTTGCTCTTTCTCTGAAGAAAAGTATTCTTTTTAAAAATTATTTAGCATATACTTTAAGTACATGAAAGATAAGATCCTATGAAGGTATTACGAAATCAGTTGTTAATTTCTAACATTAGACCTGGATACATTATATTTTGTTTCTGAGTTCTAGTTCACAGCTAAGCAAGCAAATGAACAGAGCTTTGCTTTCCACTTGATTTCTACAAACTTTGCAGACGAGAAATATTTAAAAACTTTAAAGACCTGCATTTCATGTTATGATTTCTGAGTTCATTCAATTCACTTTTACTTTAAGAGAACTTCTACTTTCATGCTAAATCATTCTACCTTCATGGCAGATTCAGTCTGCAAGTCATGACTTTGAGGGGGTTTGTGAATAGGACAGAAGTAATACAAAGTGATCTTTGGGAATATAAGCATAAACCCACTGATGCTATTTCCATATATTGTTCACATTCATTTTTCTTTTCCCTGCTCTCTTCACAGGAAGAATTTGGAGGCAGAGCTGACGTTCTATTTGCCAATGAAGCCTTACTACTCTGGTGTCAGCATAAAACTGCCAGCTATTCCAATGTGAATGTGAAGGACTTCTCCAAAAGCTGGAGTGATGGGCTGGCCTTCAATGCACTCATACATGCTCACAGGTAAGATCTGATGGATCAGTTCAGGGCGAATTCCTCGTTGCTGTTTCTAGCTCTGGCACAAGTTGTTGCAGGGTCTGAATTGCAAGTATTTTTCAAGAAACTGTTTCTCACTGAAGATTCTCCTTTCTTAAATGGATATTCTCTCTCTGAGGAAGGAAGGACCAAAAGGTCCTGTTGGCAATTCCTTTTGTTGGGCATAAAATTGATTTTCCAAGGAAATATCACACATCTGAACAATGCTGCCCATTATTTGGTCTTAGCCCCTCAGTCATGTTTCCATTGCTCTTTTTCTAAAATGAGACTGGCTTTATTGTATGAACTTTGTGAGCATGTACACCTTCTGCTTCAACTGTAACAGAGTAAGCAGCCTCTCAGTCTCTCTCTTTCTCCCTTCTCTGGCCCTTAGAAAAAGTGTGAAGAAAACAGCCCGAGGCAGGAGAGGGGAAACACCTGGGAGAACCTTGAACATTTCTTCTCCCATCAACAGTTTGCTGCATCTTCTGGCAGGATGCCATGGTGGCATCCTGTAACTTCCCCAGCTGGGAGTCACCTCTCTTTTCAGAATTGCCTCTCTAGCGAGCTTTTGTTTTCACCCATCAGTGAATAGGAGAAATAAGTGAAGGGCAGAGATTTGCCAGGAGTGGTACTTCACTATCATAAGGGACAATTTTCTTCCTCTCATGTAGGCCAGGGGTGAATCTCTTAAATGAAGCTCAGGGGTCAGGCAGAGTAATTTCAGCGTTAATGTCACAATCCTTAGTCTAATAAACAGTTTATGGTTTATAATCTGAAAACATCAATCTTTCTTCCCCTCCACACCCTGTTCTTCTCCTTGCCCAGGCCTGATCTTATCCACTATAGCTCACTGCGGCAGGACCAGCCCATCAAAAACCTGAACAATGCCTTCAATGTTGCTGAAAAAGAGCTAGGAATCAGCAAACTGCTTGATGCTGAAGATGTGGCAGTACCCCACCCAGATGAGAGATCCATCATGACTTATGTGTCATTCTATTACCACTACTTCTCCAGACTGAAACAAGGACAGACAATACAAAAGCGACTTACCAAAGTGAGTGCATTGCTATCTTCAGAAATTAAAAGTTAAATACAGAAAGCTAAATTTATGTTGGAAAGGGGGGTACAGGGATTGTGCAAGCTCAATTTCAGGATCATTTGAACTGAATCAAATGGTACAGCCATTTGAAAGACCTTTTATCGTCAGTTGAATCTTGAGAAGTGTCTGTAGACTCTCTGATCTCTAAAGGGGATTGCATTTATCTCACTGAAAATGAATCCCTCACAGTTTCTGTTTGAGAACTGATGTGGTTCCAAGGCAGCTTGAAGCATACAGATCTCATTAATCTTGGGAGGATTACTGTTAGGCAAAAGCAGATCTAGTCAACAATTTTCTGATTTAATAGAAAAGATGATCCCTTATTATATGAGACTACTTTGGATTTTTATTTCCTGTGAAAATCCTTATCCTTTCTTTATAGCTCCTTAGCCAAGTGCAAAATGCAAAAAAAAAAAAAAAAAAAAAAAAAAAAAAAGACATTAAAAAAAAATGAGGGAGTGCAAAAGAAGGGGAAACACTCCTTGGAAAAAACCTAAAGGGACAATTCCTAGGGAAAAACCCTGAAGCTAAAAAAAATGTGGTTTTTTTCGGTTTCCATATTTCTTTTTTCTCACATATAATCATGAGTTATATTAAAAACTACTTGCATCCTGTTGATGGAAAATGGAAGGAATTTTTGTGATAGCACTGAGGGCTGCTTTCCTTAGAGAGAATTTTTCTACCTTCAGGATAACCTATTCCAGTTTTGTCAAAACCACAAAACAGTCTACAGAAAACCTGCACAGCCAGGATAGGTCCGACATGAACATCTGGACTCAGAGAACTGCCTGTACATTTAAGAGGGGGAATATATTGCTTAACAGGAGGCACAAAAATCCAAACTAAGACAACCCTGTTGATGACAAGGTGAAAAGCTTTTGCAAAGCAGGGTTTGCTCAGCTAACAAAGTGGCCTGGGACAAGAACAAGATGATCCCGAAACATGTTTCAGTAACAGTGATGTTCTCTTAAGATAAGCATTAGATGAGAGCAGGACTTGGAATTCAGTCAAAGATTGGGCATCAGTGAGGATAGTGGGCAGTAGGATTTGACTGGTATGCATGTAAGTCTCTGGACTTTGGCCAGGAGAAATTCTTTTTCTTCTGATAAACCTGAAATAGTCCTTGAGTTACCAAGCATGTATGAGAGGAACTATAAGGATCAAATAGGCCGTAACTTTCATATTACGGGAAAAAACAGAAAGATAATTTCTTACTCTGTCCTTTTTTTGGTTGTTTTTTCTATTTTGTATGGGTATATTTATTTTTTATTTTATATCTCTCTTTCCACTTACCTGCTTATTTTTCTCTCTTTGCCTCCTTTTCTATTTTTAGCCTGCCTCTAATATTGCATTCCTGTCCTCCTGCATTTCTGACACACACAAACATTCAGGAGAACTAAACAGATGTTAATCTCTTCATGTCTTTAGTCCCCTCAAATAGGCAGCTCTGAATTTACTAATAGGATTGGGGAGGGAAGACTGAATGTGTCAAGGAAGCCTTTGAGTTCAGACTAAGTGTGTGACCAGGATGGCAGAGAGAATCAGCCCGAGGAGGTAAATCTCCTTTCCCCCTCCCATGTGAGGTGACCATGCATTTGCTAGGATCTTTCAGCGAGAACTGGGTACGATGGCAGAAAATACAGAAGGGAGCCCTGATGTCACGGGCTGCTTTTCCTGCATTAAAGGTTGGTGCTGTTTTACTCCTCTTCCAGCACTGTGACACTTATCCATTGCCAAGTGCTCTTTCTGGTAGGTGAAAGCAGATTACCACTTGCAGGCACTGGGTCTTTGCTCAGTGCCATCTCCCTTACTAATCTGCCTGTTTGGAGCAGGCGGGCTCAGGGGAATGACAGAGGCAGGCAACATTGTTCAGCATTAAACCTGATGTCTGCAGGAGGGCTACTAAGAGCAAGGAAAAAATATATTATAAAGTAAAAAGACAAAGATGGGGAGAAAATGTAAAATGTAAAGAAAGGGTGGTTTTATTCTAACAGCATGGCTTTAATTCTAAATGTTTGCTCCAGTGTTTACCTGAACTTGAAATAAAGGCAGGTTAGACCGCAAATGAAATGGACAAATGTCCTGGACTTGGAAAATTAGTATTGAATCAGAGTTAACATCCTTACCAAACCTCTGCTTGGATATGAGGCATTGTCTAATAATTTATATACAGAAAAACAGCTCCAACAGAAGAGATTTGAGAAGGGACTGTTTGTCCACAGTCTGCTGTGGGCATGTGAGAGAACCTGAATCTTGTCAGACAGTCTCCTGCAGCCTAAAGTGTTGAAGCTAAGAGAGTGTAATTGCTTATTAGATGGGGTAGAATTGTTTTGTTTCTAGGAATGAGAAAGGGGAAAAAAGCCAAACCCTGTTTTTTTCCATTGTGAAACAAAAAACCTGAACCCTCAGTTTGGGATTTTTGCTTTCTAGTCAGCCCACACAGGAACTGCTACAGTCTCCATATGCATGCTGTTTATTCCAAAATTAACCTTTTCTTAAATAAAAACTGAAATGAGACATTATATATAATGTCTCATATATATATATATTATATATATGTAATTATTTTCTATGCTTTATGGAAGGTTATTCTAGGATTTCACCTGGCCTCAGATGTGACAACTATCACCACATTGGTATAAAAATGTGATGACTGTGGCCACCTGCTTGTTGAATACTATTTTCCTGACACTAATTCAACTATTTGAATCCTCAGTTTGGTTTATGAAGGTGTTTTCTGTTCACCCACCTTGCTTTATTCTGCCTCTTATGTGGCTTGTAACTTTATATTCCCATCACAGATCGTGTTCTTCCTGAAGGAGATAGATGACTTGAAGCTTCTATATGAGCAGATGGTCTCTGACCTCCTGAAATGGATTAAACAGAAGGTGTCAGAACTGGATGACCGTCATTTCCCCAACTCTCTTCAGGAAATGTGGCTGCTCATGGCCAACTTCAAGACCTTCCGCACTGTGGAGAAACCCCCCAAATATCAAGAGAAGGGCGTGATTGAAGCTCATCTTTTCAACATCAGGACCAAGCAGAGAGCCAACAACCAACGGCCATACTTGCCTCCAGAGGGGAAGATGCTGCAGGATGTGGAAAAGCACTGGATTATCCTGGAAAAGGCAGAGCACAACCGAGGAAAAGCACTGCAGGAAGAGATGCTGAGGCTAGAAAGGCTGGAACAGCTAGCACAGAGGTTCCTGAAGAAGGCAGCCCTGCGTGAGTCGTACTTGGAAGATATGAGGAAAGTGATTGGGAAGCAAGACTTCTGGCCAGAGAGCGCGGACAGGATGGAAGCTGCCAGTAAGAAGCTGGAAGCCATTGTGGCAGATGTACTCCCCAGAAGGGAACGCTTCACAGCTCTGGACGAAATGGCAACAGTCATCAGCCAGGAGAACTATCATGGCAAAGATCAAATTGTGAAGAAGTGAGTGATGGTCATGAGACTGTGTAGTGGTGGAGGTTGAAATTAGCTGAAATTGTGTAGTGTGGTGGAAGAAAATGAATTATTATAGCTATGAATCATAGCTCTGCTCCTCATAGTAGAACTGGCAGGAATTTTTTCTACCTGTGAACAGTTTCAGCAGATAAGACAAATGCTTCATCATCTTTAAAATTTTAATCCTTTTCTTGAATGATCAAACCCTCAGACTGATTTCTGGTGAAAATTAGTTTTAAGCTATTTTCATTATATATGAAAATACTTGTTCTGCCAAAAATCCTATCTTCCATCAAAAATGCTTATAAGGATATATCTTTTTCCAAATCAACATTTTCTTTTTCAGTGTGTAGTTTGGGGAGATACAGAGTGGTTAAGGCACAATATCTTCTCAGACTGACTCCAGTTTAGACCAAATCTTGAGAAATTATGACTTCTCTGATTATATTTTATATATATATGACTACATATATAGTATATATTATATCAATGTATACTATATTGATAGCCTGATTTGGGAATGGCTAAGAATGCTGCACAAATAACTTCTCTTGTATTTCAGTGCTTTTTTAAGTTCGGACAAAATCAGCGATCTGTAGGAAAACTAAGTAGTACAGTTATAAAAGAGTAAACCAAACTCTTTAGGAGATCAGATTGTGACTCGTTATGTGGGTTAGATTAATTTTTTACATTAAGCAGCCATTTAAAGACCAATTCTTTTTTCCAATCCTTTCCATTGTATCAGATGACAGCAATTTGGGATGTCAGGTATGAGGATCCATAAAAAACAATGTCTAAATTTAAAAAGTCAACAGTTGATGTGCTAGTCAAAATTCCTCCCCATTATCACACTAATTAGGTAACAGCATTGCTTTGACCTGTTCTGTGATCATGGCCTGTCCTCTTGTGCTAGTGGCAAGAGCTATGTGTACGTGTGTGTTTGTTTAGCTCCTGTAAAGCCGGAAGCACTGAGAATCTCCCAGTGCTCCTCAAAGTCTTTGGTCCAAATTCATCATTTCTCTCCCTTACTTTGTAGGCAAAACAGCATTTCAAAGCAATGGCAGGACCTTCTGGATCAGCTGCAAAGACGACAACACTCCCTGGGTACAATGCAGGAAATTCTGGGTCTCCTGAGGGACGTCGATGCCATTACAGAGGAGCTGAAAGAGCTGCAGGTAGAGCCCTCTCAAACAGCCCACAGCTTACACTGCTGCGTGTCCCTAAAAAAGCCCCCATATTCCATGGACTGCCTTGTGCCAACAGAAGATAAGTCTATCAGCTATAGAAAAAATACACCATTTTTACTTAGATGCCTAACTGTGCATTTCAGTTCATTATTGCAGATAACTACATGAGAAAAAACCAGGCTTTGCTACAGGGGCTCTTCCTAATCCAAAAGCCAGATATGGTATTTCAGGGAATGCACTACAGGTTCAAGTTATGTAATAAAATAAAGATGGGAAATAATCTCACTTAAATTTAGCAGTGTCAAAGCAAAAGTGGAATAAAACAGCCTCCTGTTCCCATTCTACATAATTCTTCTGAATTATCTTCTGGAAGTACCTCCAATGATTTTTACAGGTGTAGACTAGCCCAGGCTTATGTCTGGCTTCCAGGTATCTAAACTTGTGAGAGAGAAAAGTTTCACTGTAAATGCACAGTGATTGCTTTTAGCAAGAATTTCCAAGTGTTACCAGAGTGTCAGAGCCCAAAGTCTTCTCTTTAGCATAGGAAATAACTGGCTTCATATTGATTTTGTAACGGCAGGAAGTGTATATACATCCTTTGGTCTTGCCTTGTCTTATTTAAACACAGAAAAATCCTTATGACTACAGTTGCCTTGTACCTAAGTTGAAAGAGTCAACAGGCTATATGAAGACGTGAATTTCAAATTAAAGAGAAGAGCTATCCATAAATTATGAGTCTTTATGTCCTAGTTTAGTAAGCAAAGAACACCTAATGATAATAATGTTGTTGGAACCATGATAGCCTGAGGATATGGGATAAGGTTGGTAAGGAAAGATAACATCATACAATAGGATTGATAATTGTATCATTGATATGATTAGAAAGAAGAGACTTTTAAGCACTTGGTGCCTTCATCAGCCACAAATTAAATACTACTTATTTTCATTATTTAGATAGTAAAGGCAAGCAAGTTTCTCAACCAAAAGCCATTGCAGTCAAAATGCGATATTGCAGAATTCTCTAAATACTGCCTACAGATGAGCATATAGCAAAGGGCTATTCCTTGTGCCCACAAATTCTGGGACCTTGAGTGCTTAATCAACAGAAATACCTTAGGTGTGAAAACAGATGCTTATTTCAAGAGACCGTTACTTGCACTGCAGTAGATAGAAATTCTGGATTGTTGCCTTTAGCTTGTTAAATTGAAAGAAAAGTATGATTCCTCTAGTTAGGTGGCTTTTTAGCTTCACCTAGCTGACAGCATTCTTTTACATTTAGAAGCTGTAAGAGTCAACAGGAACCTTTCCACTGATTTTTTTTTTTTGTATTGAGTCCCTGGATGCATTCTCTGCCAATGACTTTTGTTTCTCACTTTGTTTGCAGGCACTAGTGAATTCCCAGGACTGTGGGAAGCAGCTTCTGGAAGTCGTAGATTTGCTGCAGAAGCACGACTTGGTTGACTCGCAGATCTCTTCCTATGAGGGTAGATTGGCACACATCACCCAGAGGACAGCAGAAATCAGCAAGGACAGCACAGTTAAACCAGAAGTGCTTTATGCGAAAGTTCAGATGCTTCATCAGCTGTATCAGAATCTTATAGCTGTGAGCAAGTCACGGTAGGTCTGGGCTTATGGCTCTGTTCTTCCTGATTAGGATGGCCAACCGCTCCCCTAATCAGAAGACGCAGCTTCCCAGCATTTGAAATTTTTAATTTCTCCATTTATAAAGACATAACAAGCAACTTGAGTGTCTTGATTGCAGTTGACTGAAAGAGATCACTCCCTTTCATAGATGAAGAATAGCTTCATTCTCAGCATTTATTGTGACTTGCTTTATGTGAAGTCTGAATAGCATGTGATTATCTCCTCACCTCCTAGAGGAAGAGTGAAATGTAATTTTGTTTCCTTTGTCTTCTTCCATGAATGAATGAATCTATGGCAAAGAGGAGTTAAAGGCATTCAAATTTGGGATTTTCTAAATTCTTCTTTGATTATGTTGCCATTGCCTCCATGGGATCCTAATTCTGACTGTGATATACTGTTTGTTTCTTTGATTCAGAAAATCTCAGCTAGAAGATGCTTTGAAGCTTTTTGAATTCTTCCGTGACTGCAAAGAGGAAGAATCGTGGATCTCTGAGAAATGGAAGCTAGCAAGAACGACAACATTAG